CCTTACCCAAGTACATATTGAAATACATTTCAACACCTAATACAATAACAACAACCACATTGTTAACGTAATTTATAACACGTCACATAAAATACACTAAAGGATTTAGTGTAAATAAACTTAATTACATTACTCCAATGACCATATACACAATGAATCTAAATACTTCACATGCTGCAAAATGATACATTTTTGGTCGACACTTTACAAAATGAGGCCTAAATGCAAAAGATAGCAAAAGAGACATTCTTCTAATCCAAGCTAAGACTATGGTGGATTGTCGTCCGCCATTTCTTTTCCCGAATCTGAAAATATTAAAATAATGGGGTGAGCTAAACGCTTAGCAGGAAGTGTCTAAGACACACATCTTATAACCCCGTGAATCCACGTAAGGAATAGGTAAAAGAAAACGGGATCATAGCATAGGGGTACATAGCAACAACTATAACGACAAATATATAACAATTGTCACCCAAACACATACACACCATATATTTTAATGAAGTGCAATGTCGTGCAATGTCACTTCCCATATCCGAAACATTTCCGTTTCAACTTCCAAACCTTTAGTGTAATCCAACCCAAGGCACTTCCAAGGCGTCACGAAAGGTGGATTGGCTAACCATCCACTACCACAAGGCACCTCTAAGGCGTCGCATCCGGCTTGGTTAGCTCAACCATACTCCCCTCTAGACTACATTAACACCACGGACCACTAGGCCCTTCCTAGGCGTCCGGGTTTTCGCAAACACTTTTTGAAAACTTTTCTCAAAACAATTTCACTTGTTTTAAAGGCATTTTCCCCATTTTTCTATTCCAATGAATGTATGGAATATTTCATACTTCAATTCATCAATTTCACCTTAAAACTCTCACACATGAGTTGTAATTCACTAGTTATTCCAGATGCTCGCCAAATCTGAAAAAACCCAGAGGTTATTTGTATTCCTCGGAAACCCCCGCCCACATCACCATTCAATATTTCTTGGCCCACTATTGGCCAAACCACCTCGGCACTAGGGCCAATGTGAGTAGGATCGCTTAGCCATGCTTCATAATTGGTATAAAGCAAATTTCTAAACTACATAACTAAAGTTCTAAATTAACATTAACTTTGCATAACAAGCATTTAAGACATTGATTCAACTTCATATAAACATGTTTAAACAGTATAAAACAAGTAACAATTAGTCACATATATTCCATACCTATCATTTAAGCAATTTTTACGAAAATTTATACCAATTGAACATGCTAGACATCAATTCAAGTTATAAAACTCACAAAAGTACAAGAAATTATGCATTAGAACACTCCTACCTCAATGGAAATGAAAATCCCCAATTCATACCCTAGAATTTTTGAAATTTCAAGCTTAGCCGAACAAGAAATTGTTTACATCAACGTGAAGGTCTCACCGAGCTCTTCGAATTGTTGCAAACGGCTTCCAAAAATTTCAAGTAGTGAAGGAGGAATCAAGATTTGAAGTTTGAAACCCCAAAGAAAAAAGAAAACTCTAGAAGAATGAGGAGGGGGAGAGAGCTACAGGAGAGTGAGAGAAAAATGAGAGGCCTAAATGGCCTTCCAAATAATACAAGAGGTGGTGGTGGGTCCCACCACCAAAACAATTTCTTTTCCCTTTATTTTTATTTTCTTTTTACACCACACACTTACATATGCACATTTAATTCACAATCACTTCAAACACAATAAATAAAATAGATATGATGCAAATGGACCCAATTAAAATCCCCGTGCATGACAATTCCAGTAACGGGTTCCACACGGGACCGTCCGGCCCGAAAAATGAAAAAATGCGAAAATGACCATCCTTATATTTCAAAAAGTCATAGACTCAATGAAATGCCCAAAACAACCCTTAGACACAACCGGCACACTCTACAGTGTCCGGTACGAAAAAGGGCAAAAAACGAAAATGCCCTTACTGTGACAAATGGCGAAAATTTGGAAACATCATACGCTATGCACGGAATTTTTTACTTTCTCAAATTATTTTTTTGAAAGTTAACTGTAATAGTTTTGAATATATATATATATATATATTAAAGTGAAAAGATTTTTTTTAAAAAAGTAAGTGGGCCCACCAACAAATTAAACATAACAAAAGGCCATAAGGCCATTATGCAGACACATTCTCTCTCTCTCTGCCGCATCACTCCTCTCGGCAGTTTCATTTTTCTTTTTCTTTTTGCAACTTCAAACCTTGATCTAGTTATTTCCTTTGTGAATTTGGTAGAACATTGTGAAACAAAGTTGTAGAGCTCGTCGAGGCCGTCAATTTGATAGGAGCCGATCATCATTTGGCCAAGCCTAGGGATTCCGAAATTAGGGCTTGGATTTGGGGATTTTGGGGGTTTTCACTTCCATTGAGGTAGGAGTATTCTAATCTACAACTTCTCGGTTTCTTTGTGAATTTTCTCCTTTAAATTTGATTCTAAGCATGTTTATTTTAATTACCTAGTTTGTGGTTGTTGTAAGTATGATTAATCAAAGTTATAAATGTGTTCCATGTGTTATTTGAATTCATATATATGATTAGTTTCATTACGGTGAATGAGCATGCTTAGTGTTGACATATTGTATGCCCTATGATTATTTATTTATTTCTTTGAAAAATTGAATGCTATGGTTGTAAATAAATAAAATGAATGAATGTTTAGAAATTCTTATTAAATTGTGATGATGATATAAATGGAATGTGTGAAAGCATATAGTTGAATTGATGATTAGAAGTATGAAACATTCATGCATCCATCGAGAAGAGAAAAAGGAAAAATGTTTTCAAAACGAAGGAAATAAATTTTTAGGAAAAGTATTTTTAAAAGTGTTTGCGAAAACTGGACGCCTAGGAGGCGCCTAGTGGTCCGTGATATTGGTATAGTCTAGAAGGGAAAGTAGTTGAGTTAACTAGGCCGGATGCGACGCCTTGGAGGTACCTTGTGGTCGTGGATAGTTAACCAACCTTCCTTTCGTGACGCCATGGAGGTGCCTTGGGTCGGACTACACTAATGATTTGGTTCTTGAAACGGAATTGTTTCGGAAATGGGGAGTGACATTTGCATAACATTGCACTTCATGACATTGTGGTAAAATTGTGATTGGTTGATATTTGTTACATACTTGTTATTGTGGTTGAGAATGTGTGTTTCCCTATGGTAAGATCCCGTTCATTTTTTATTTATTCATTGCATGGATTCACGGGGACATAAGAAGTGTGTCTTAGACACTTCCTACTGAGCTTATGCTCACCCCATTATTTTAAACATTTTTCAGGCATGGAAAAGGGGTGGCGGACGACGATCCACCATAATTTTAGACGAGTTTGGGGATCTATTTTATTTTTGCTATCTTTTGTATTAGAATTCTAATATTTTGTAAATGTAATCTCAAGTATCTTGTGAAACTTTAGTTTAATTAGTATAATGTTGTAAGTTATGGACTTTTAAATTCTAACTACACTTTTGGACTGTAAATTGATGTAACTAAAGTGTGTCCTTTATTTGAATGAGATGGAGGAACAAGACTTTTGTATGTATGTAACCATTTTGGGAATGTAATATAATATCTGTATTGTGCATTGGGACATGATATGTTAGATTTAAGGCCCAATGAGGCCATTGCATTTATTTTTGTATTTCAACAGGTTGTAGAGGGGCTTTTTCTGCGAAGGTGATGCTAAAATTTTATATATTTTTTAGTACTATTTTGATATCCTTTTGGGGTGTTACATTAACAATGTAAATTATACTTGATGGTATTGAAATTTCAAAAGGATACGAAAGTATTGCATTTTTCTCTTTCCTGCTAAATAAGTATTGCAAGGGACTGTCTTTAAATTTAGAAAGTTCACTGAGGCTTTAAACGTCTTCGTTTGGGTTGCAATGGGATAGTGAGAAGTGAAAGCACTCTACCAGTGTCTAACCCTAGCATATCTTCGTAAGGGCAATGCTATATAGACCTAAAACCCTAACTGAGAAACTTAGTACGGGATTTCTATCTCGGATGACCAAGCAAAGCAAACCCTTAGCTTTGACATACACCCTTTTTTTTAATGTATCTTTCTCCTTTATAACTTTGACGGACGCCTTTCAATTTAAGTTCAATATTGTTATATCATATTAGTTGAATTAATTGTGGCACGCCAAGGGGTCAATGCATTTCATTTTGGCTTTTCTAGCTAAAATGAAAAAAAAGAAAAGAAAAGAAAAGAACTCAATATGGAAATTTTTGTCAGAAACAATTAAACAAAGGACTTCCATTAATTTTGGAGCATTTTGTTACAAACTATATTAGTTAAAGCAGGTCATATGAGGGTAATGTTGCTATCAAAGATGCAAAAAATAGGACCCATTTCTTGTTACTTTTGGTTCTTAATTCTTTCCGTGGCCTCTTCAATGTGTTAATTCACCCGCTTGAATCCAAAGCCAAATATATATGCACTTCTGTTAAATGTAATGCGATCATTTAATTAGTTCTAAAATAAAATTTGGAAGATCTTACCCAATCCTCCACCATGCTTGTACGTACCCACATTCTTTGAAGTATATATTTTGTGATCATTTTATCATTTTTCTAAGTAAATGGACATTAGCATATGCTTTTATTCTTAAATTGTAAACACAAACTCAAATGACTGATAGGATGAAGGTGGTGGAGAGAAACTCCACACACACAACATAATTTAAGGACATACATAGAAGTAATCAATGATTTTATCCAAATCATACACCACAGATTACTATATCAATTTTTTTTTTTTTTTTTTTAATTTACCAAATTGTTGCTTGCAACTCATAATTTCTAAATAGATATATTATCAAATAGAAAGAGAGTAAGAGAGAGAGAGAGTAGGTGTGATACTGAAATTCACTTTATTGGAGGGTTGTATTTAAAGAACCTCATTTTTCAACAACATATATATGAAGATTTATTATAGGCCCCATTGAATGGGCAACAAGTTATATAGATTTGCCGTAGCTCTAGTTGTGTTGAAGCATTTCATCGTCTGTTGAGGGCCTTCTTGGGACAACATGTTCCATGGTGTCTTTATGGTCTTCGTGGGCGCCTGTCGCCTCTTTTGCAGTGGCATCCATGGACTCAATACAGCCTCCAAGACGAGGATCACAGGTCAGTGGAGGAGGAGGGCTAGGAATTGGGCAGCCACAATCAGGCTCAGGCGCAGGAGGAACAGGCATACCTAGACAGGAACCACCACACGGAGGCGGCTCTAGTGGAGGTGCAGGTGGTGGAAAGAAGTATATAGGCGGCGAATAAGGTGGAGGTTGAGTCACAGGGGCACCACATGGGCAGGAACCACACGTAGGCGGCTCTGGTGGAGGTGCAAATTGATCAGGTGGTGGAAAAAAAGGTGGCATAATCAGATCACCACCAGGTGGGCAAGAAATGCCCGGTATGCAAGGTGGTGGAAAATTAGGTGGCTGGATGTCTGTAGGCGGGGAACAAGGGGGCGGAACTGGCTCAGGCTCGCTGCAATCAAGACATCCCATGGTTGTTACATGCCCAGAAGAGGAAGGGGATTTTATGTCTTTGGCCTTCTTGTCCTCCTTGACTTCTAGGAGGTGCCTGTTAGCAGAGCAAAGGCTTAGACTTACTAAAAACAACCACCCAATGGTGATACATTTTGGTGAAGCCATTTTTGTTAACTCTTTCATTAGTGCTTAGCTTGATCTGAACAACACAAGGCCCTTGTCTATATATATATATAGTGAAAAAAATGCGAGGTTTAAGAAAAAGAGATTGCGTAACTCTAATTAATTAAGCACAAAATATGTTGAGCGTATTAGTTCTGAAATTCCGGAGTCATGAATCTTGTGGTTGAGGACCAAGATCTGTACAAGTAACTCCAACTATTTTATTTATCTCTTGCTTCTTATTAAATGTGCGTGTGTGAGAGAGAGAGAGAGAGAGTTTCTAATATTATCTTTGCTTGGAAATAGGAGTGTTTTGGTTTTTCAACCTTCACGAAGTCTTGGAGGACTATGTGAGCAGAGCAGAGACTTAAACATATTACAACCATGAAACCCGCGGTGCCATATTTTAGTGAAGCCATTTTTGGCTACTATATGTAGCCAAAAAGAGAGAGACTGTTCGTGTTTTCGTGTAACAAGCTATGTATATTAGTGCACGGCACAGAAAGGTTGTGCTTGTTAATTCTGGAATTCAGTGAGTGGTGAACCTTGTGGCTGTGAATCGCTACTAATTCTCTACTGTATTTGATACATATGTGTAACAATGTTAAATTGTTAATTCATCAACTACTTAATGAAAATATCTTTTATAAATCAATTCTTCTTTATACACCCTCCAACTCAAAATAAATGACCATTTTTCTAGAACTATTTTTTTCAAAAATTAAACCAAATTAACAATGTAAATTACACTTTATGGCCGGGGTTAGCATTGAATTTTCTCTTTCCTAATAAATAAGCATTGCAGGAACCTCTTTTTTCATGTATAAAGTGTGACGACCCGGATTTTTAAGTCTTCAATTTAAATATTTTATGATTTTTAGACTGTCCATATTAATTAATTATTTATTAATATTTGTGGCTTTGAATTTTAATTTAATTTTGTTCTCTCTATATATATATATATATATATTTATGTGTATTGCATTTATGATGGAGGTAGAACATGGAAAGGAGCAGTGGAGTTTACTGGAAAGAGAGAGAAATTGTGATGATGTTCTGTGGGGGATTTGTTTGGCCAATATTTTGTACTTTTGATTTCTTCACATGGGTATTGATTTGTTTTTATATTACATTTGTATATTTTATACATATAAATATATACGTTGTGTCTCGGATTAAGAGGAGCAGGAGCTGAATTGAGAAGAGAGATGAAGAAAATGTTGTAATAATTTAGTAGGTCCCACTAATGAGACCTGTTGGTCACTTTTTCTCTAGCCTTGTTCTCGTGGGTTTGGAGTAAGCTTTTGGTCTAATAATGATGAAGATAGAAATGATGGATTCAAGCAGACCACTTTTTTGACTTGGTTTTTTATTCACGTGGCATTATTTTGTGGTGAGCTTTTGTGTGAGGAGTCGGTGCAATTGCCTATTTAATGTGTTGTGTTGTGAATAAAGTTGAGGCAGAGAAGATAGAAAGAAACAGAGTGAGTTGAGAGGGATGACAGTGAGTGAGCCGAGGGTATGCAGAGGTGATCTTGGAGCTTGAGGCTTTGATGATCCAGTAGAGAATTATACTTTTTCAGTGTAGGGTTCTCTATACCTTGAATGGCATGAGGAGATTTTGTTTTAATGTTTTTATTAAATGTTTTTAATTAAATGCATATGTATTAAATGTATATGCTTATGTTGTGAATCTGTTTTTATTAAACCTCCATGAGATTCTTGTTATGATTTTTCCTACTGGGACTTTTGTGTCACCACCCTCCAGTTTTAAGTACCGAGGACGAACGGGGATTGCTAAATTCGGGCTTAGGGTGAAGAGTCGGCGTTGCAGGATTTTATTTATTTATTTGGAGAATTTTTTTGTATATTGAGATTATGGCAATTTTTATGATCGTGGGTATATTTTGATGTATTTGCATTGAATAAATTGAGGATTTTGTTAGAAAATCCGGGGTGTGACATAAAGTCAACTCAAGCATATCTTCCTAAGGGCGATGCTATTTAGACCTAAAACTCTAACCGGAAAACTTAGTGTGGGGATTTTTATCCCCGATGACTAAGTAAAGCAAACACATCTTGATATTTGACAGACGCCTTTTAAGGTACCTCTCATTAGCTTTGACAGACGCCTTTCAATTGAAGTTTTCAATGTTAATATCCATATTAGTTTCACCCTAGCTAGAATTGTGGCATGCCGAGGGACCAGTAAATGCATTTCATTTTGGATTTTCTAAAATGGAGAAAAAGAAGAGAAGTCAATATGGGTATTTATGTCAGAAACAAAAGGATTTCCATTAATTTTTGAGCATTTTGTTACAAACTATATTTGTTACACCAGGCTCATATATAAGGGTAATGTTGCCATCAAATATGCAAAAAGTAAGACCATTTCTTGTTACTTTTGTTTCTTAACTCATTTCCATTGCCTCTTCAACCTGTTCGCTTGAATCGAAAGCAAAATATGCACTTTCGTACCTGTAATATGATCATTTAGTTCTAAAATAAAATTTGGAAGTTTTTACCCAATCCTCCACCAGGCTTATACCCAGTTCTTTGATGTCTTTTTAAGATCATATAACCATTTTCTGAGTATAAGGACATTACCATATATATGCTTGTAATCTCAAAATTTATACACAAGCTCAAATGATTTGATAGACAGAAGGTTGTAGGGAGAAGACTCCACACACACACAAAATTTAGAGACTATAGGACTAATCAATGGTTTTATCCAAATCATTACATTACAGTGACCCTGGTTATTGCATAGTATCAATTATTTTTATTTTTGATTAATCATAATTTTTTTTTTTTCATTAACCAAATTGTTGCTTGCAACTCATTTCAAAATAGAAATTATTAAATGGAAAGAGAGATTGGACGTAACACTGAAATTCAACTTTATTTGAGGGTTTTATTTTTTTTAAAAAAAGCTCATTTTTCAACAACATTTGAAAATTTATTATAGGCTCCATTCAATGGGCAACAAGTTCCACAGATTTGCCGTAGTGTATGGAGCTCTAATGTCGAACCATTGCATCCTTTGGATTTGGAGTGGAGAGCCTTATTGGGACAACGTGTTCCATGGTGTCTTTTTGGTCTTCTTGGGCTGTAGCCTCTCTCGCAGTGGCATCCATGGAATCTGTAATGACTGGTTCATTACAGAATCCAAGATGAGGATTACAGCCACAATCATTACAGGTTGGTGGAGGAGCGGCTGGCTCAGGAGCTGGAGGAGTAGTCACAGGTTCACCACCTGGAGGTTGAGGCACAGGTGCATGACTTGGGCAGGAATCACCACACGCTGGAGGTTGAGGCACAGGTTCAATGTCTGGGCAGGAACTAGGTTGCTGCACAGGTGGCAAGACTCCTATTGGCTGCTGCACAGGTGGCAGGATGCTTGTAGGCGGCTGTACAGGTTCAGTGTCTGGAGAGGAACTTGGTGGTTGCACAGGTGGCAAGACTCCTATTGGCTGCTGATCAGGTGGCAGGATGCTTGTAGGCGGCTGTACAGGTTCAGTGTCTGGGCAAGAACTAGGTGGCTGCACAGGTGGCAGGACTCCTATTGGCTGCTGATTAGGTGGCGAGATGCTTGTAGGCGGCTGTACAGGTTCAGTGTCTGGGCAAGAACTAGGTGGCTGCACAGGTGGCAGGACTCCTATTGGCTGCTGATTAGGTGGCGGAATGCTTGTAGGCGGCTGTACAGGTGGTAGGACACCAATTGGCTGCTGATCAGGAGGTGGGCTGCCTGTAGGCGGCTGCACGGGTGGCAGGACGCCTATTGGCTGCTGATCAGGTGGCGAGATGCCTGTAGGCGGCTGCACGGGTGGCAGGACGCCTATTGGCTGCTGATCAGGTGGCGAGATGCCTGTAGGTGGCTGCACGGGTGGCAGGACGCCTATTGGCTGTTGATCAGGAGGCGAGATGCCTGTAGGCGGCTGCACCGGTGGCAGGACGCCTATTGGTTGCTGATCAGGTGGCGAGATGCCTGTAGGCGGCTGCACGGGTGGTAGGACGCCTATTGGCTGCTGATCAGGTGGCGGGATGCCTGTAGGCGGCTGCACGGGTGGCAGGACGCCTATTGGCTGCTGATCAGGTGGCGGGATGCCTGTAGACGAAGGAGGTTCGGAACAAGGAGGAGGAACTGGCACAGGCTCGTTGCACTCACCACAATCTAAGTCCCTCTCAGTTGATATAAGCCCGGTAGAGGATTGAATGTCACTGGCCTTCTTGTACTCCTTCATTTCTAGGAGGAGCCTATGAGCTGAGCAAAGGCTTAAACTTGCTAAAACCAAGAACCCAATGGTGATACATTTTGGTGAAGTCATTTTGACACTTGAGTGCTTAGCTTGATTCTGAACCATACAAGGCCTTTGTCTATATATAGTGAAAAACTGCGAGGTTTAAGAAAGAGAGAGGGAGGGAGGCATAACTCTAGTTCAGCTATTGTAGTGTAAGCACAAAAATTGTTGAGGCTGTTAGTTCTGGGATTCCGGAGTCATGAATCTTGTGGTTTGAGGAACTGCAACTATTTTATTAATCTTTTGCTTCTTATTATGAGAGAGAGAGAGAGAGATTTTCTGAAATTCTCTTTGCATGAAGCAGCATTACTGCAAGAGCCCACTTTATTGCTGTCATGAATTTATTGCTCAAATTTAAAGCATCTGATGAATCCAAAAATCCCAGTGATTACATAGTACAGTATGAGGCTGCAAATTACCAGTGATTACATAGTACAGTATGAGGCTGCAAATTATTGTTTTCAACATGGGTCTCTTGTTAAAAATTTAATAAGTAGTATTTATTTGCATTCAAATAAATTTATGAAACATGAATTTTTCAATATGAGTCTCTTGTTAAAAATTTAATATTTATTTGCATTCAAATAAATTTATGAAACATGAATTGTTGAAGTTTTCTAAATTACTTTGTCAATCACATTTACCTTTCACATTTTGTCAATTATTTGTTACATGCTACTATTATTAAAGCAGGCCCAAGCAGCACCAGCAGGAACCATTCCTCTGTTTTAAACCCTCAACTAACATGGCTAAATGTGTATCACAAAATTTGATTTTCCAAATATATCATATCTTTTTCTGGATTGTTTCTGAAATTTATGCATGTCCATGAAACAAGGTCCAGAGAACACAAAGTCAATTTTGTCATGAGGTAGCGGACACAGGTCCGATCCAACCAATCACAAGTTACCATGCAACAATATGTGTTAAATTTATTCAATTTTTTAATTGCTATACAGCTTGTAATTGGCGTCTAATAATTTTTCCACAAATCAGATGTATGACAGATGCAATAAATTCCCAATCACCTCTAGCGTATGAACAAAGATAATATGTGACTGATAAATCCTGCATAGAATTTATTTCTTCCCTAAATTAGCCAGTAAATTATATTGCATCATCAATAAATCTATATGGAAGCAGAACATTTTACACCAGCAATAACAAATAGAACAGTTTCGCAACTTAATTTGCACTTTCTTATCAATAAGTTTTTGTTCCACAGCTTGTCATCTGAAGAACCCGTCTCTTGGATTCGGCGCCCTTTTGCCCAAGCAAAAAGTTTTTGTTCCACACCATTCTAATTAATTGATTTGGCAAAAATGAGATTCTTCCTACTAAGAGTATTACTCTGCACCACCACTAGATATCAAACATGCTAAATCAAAATTTTGTGAAACACCGAAGTACCCTGCCATCTCCCATTTCATTGTGAATGCATTTAAAGGTTTAAAGACTACCAAAGGCACAACATAAATATTATTAAACTGAAATAAAATTTTCAAAGGCATCCATAATTGTGAATGTCCAAATTCAACAGACTCGTAAACCTACACAAAGGACCTGTTGCATTCACAGGAAGCATAGAAAAAAGAAACCATAAGTAACATATTGAAATTTAGACTAGTCCGCATTTAAACTTCATCGCCAGTGTCTGCACCCGATTCCATTTCCCTCATAGCTTCAGCCATCATCCGGTTCCTATTCTGTGTTTGTCTTTCTACAGCAACCATATAAAAGCCTAAGGAGTTATAGTTGCCAAAAGTTAGTGACAAACAGGGAAGGGAAGCAGATATAATTGCAACAACTGCCTGTATGGATCAATAAAATTTTAATTTCATTTGAAAAGAAAAAACGAATGAAGTGATGAGCAAACATTAAAGAGAAGTAGAAAACCATACCAACTGCACTTCCAATTGCACAGCACCAGAGAATCCTCATGGACCATTTATCACTAATAACTCCTCTGGTTCTCATCTCTCTACCAAGATTGGAAAGATGCATTTTTAAAAATAAAAAATTAATAATTAAAGAATATAGTGCCCAGTAAACAGTTGATGAGAAATAAATCAAATTCGTATTCTTGTTTTTAGCTATCAAACAACATAGCAATATGGAATTGGGAGTAAAATCATATTGAAAAAGAATAATGGTGAAGATGAAGGGGAAAGAACAATGCTTAACAAAGCTTTACTATGTTAAAGCAACTATCTAACAGCTTTGAACCTCAACATCCACAAGAATCAAAAGTTGAGATTGTACACATTCCAATCTCCCCACCCCAAAAAACATAATAATAATAATGTAACTCATTATACTGTTAACAATTTCCAACTACTTCCCTTTGTAACAGGTAGCAAACCAAAGTATAAGCATAAAACAATGTCCAACAACAGATGGATCTCCACTGCACTATGTATAAAAGAATTTTACTTTTAAAGAGTGAATGTCTAATTGAACTAACTAATTCAAAGTGAAATGATTAGTACATCTCAACCATTATACATATTGAGTTGAGAAAGGAGAGATTGGATGCCTCTCCTGCTGCACCTCTCCCTAGGTATGGCAATGGGGGTGTGTTCGGGCGGGGAGTACCCTCCCCGGTTTAAGTTTCCCCACCCCATCCCCGCCCAAAAACCCCCTCCCACCCCGGCGCCGCCCCACCTTCCCGACTCGTTTAAACCCCCACTAACACCAACCAGTTGTCACTATGCTGAAGAACAATCAAAAGTTCTAAACTTGCACAAATCATGCACATACAATCAAAATGCACAAACCCTTGTTGGATTTGCAAAGATATACAAATATAGGGTAAATATAAGCTAGGGTTTTGTTTAAGAAGGTGTGAAGATGAATATTAACAATTAGATCTGCAAATTTATAGTGATATTCTGAGAAGAAGAGGCCTTGGCAAGAGAAAACTAGAGAAAAAAGAGGACTTCAAGCTCCTACAGAGAGAGAGCAGCGCTGATTGGGAAAGAAGAAGAGGGCTTCGTTGGAGCTAGTAGGTTTTGGCCATGGCATCTAAGAGTGAGTGTATTTTCTTCTTGGATGCCAGCAAATTCACCGTTCATGGCACTGATCGGAGACAGCTAGATGGATCATGACGAGAAGTGACTGCCGACGAAGATCTCTTTAGAAGCTGCTGGGCTGAACTGGTTAGAGGACAGCTAGATGGTCATGGCAAGAACGGTGATGTGCAGTTTCGGAGGCATCTTCAAGACTGGGAGATGGAGGATATAGTAGCTTTCAAGTTGGGTGGGCACCTGGCAAGGGGGTTTTGAAATGTGAGTCTTTTATCAGTAGTTTCAGGCTGTGGTACTTGGATTCGAGTACACGTGTCTGGTGTAGGAATGTTTCGTCAAATCGTCAAACAAAAGAACACACAAACACTACTAAATATTAATATTGTTAAATTTTCTATAGTAAAAAGATTATTTATATAACATAATGTTCAATTAAGCATTTCACTCGTTTTAAAGCAATAATATAACAAAGTTGAGTTCTTCGATATATTTTTTAAATACTTGTTCAACCAAAAGCATCGGAGTGCATATCTTATACCATGTTCAAGTATTGCTTGTCCGACAAAACCTACATTTGAAGAGTCCATGTAACAAAGGTTTCAAAGTGCTCAGGCGGCAACCTGTCCGTGAAAAGCAGTCTAGAGAACAAGAGCCCCTCTCAAGGTGACTTTCTTTGGATGGACAGTGGCTTTGAGAAAGATCTTGATGCTCGATAATTTGAGGAAGTTTGTGATGAACTGGTATCGTATGTGCAAAAGGGATGAGGAATCGGTAACTCATCTTCTTTTGCATTGCCTAGTGACTAGGGTTGTTTGGGCTACGCTTTTTACTGGTTGTGCAATGGGTTTTACGGCTTCCAAGATGGCCATGCTTGAGTCTAGGAGGAGATGTATATTGGGAAGACAAGTTCGAGATGCATGGAAGGCAACTCCACTTTGCATGTGGTGGGATTTGAGGTGTGAGAGAAGTAAGAGGTCCACCGATTATGTGGAAGCCCCCGATATGGGTGATAAAGCATTCCATTCTGAATTCTCTATTTTTTTGGGTTGAAGGGAGGTTTGTAAATCTTATAAAGGACTCTTCAGATTTTGTGAATAGCTTGAGATTATAGAGGTGTTTTCTTTTGTATGATTTTTGTTTGGGTGCACTCCCTTTTGTGTGCTCTTTGATGAAATTTTACTTATCAGAAAAATGATATACGGGGAATGGATGGAGACATGTTGTTCATTCTTGACTTGCCAGCTTTTGCTATTATATCTATTGTAAAACTGAAGACAATCTGCAAAGACAAGAAACATGCCGTTTGACTCTGATATTTGAGAAGAAAAAAAAAAAGAAAAGCAGGGCTTGGTGTTTTTCAATCTAAATGGTCATCATCTACTTTGTTCAGGAAACTAAAGAATTCTTGAGGCTTATTGAACATCATTCATGGCTAATCTTTAAAGTTTAATTGTAAGAGGAAAAGAGGCTTTCTACAACTGTTCAACTCAAAAGCACATATGAATCCTGATGTAATGTTTTGGAAATAAATTGTTAAAAGTTCAAACCTTAGTTCTCTCTTTATATGTGCGGCATTGTCCACAACACAGGGTCAGTTTAACCATGACTTGGATTAAGTTTGCTCATGGTTTACTGTTCCATTATACCAATAATGTATAGCAAAATCCAAGAGATTGATTATATTGAGAAAATCTGTACTTTTTGTGTGTTGGGGGAATGAAGAGTTCACACTCATATGCTACCACAAATTCCTTGGTTGACAATGCTTAAATCTTTTTCAGAAACTGCCATCATGTTTAGAGGTGCAGTAACAAAATCAGAAACATTTTAGAACAGTATTAGACACGTACAAAGCTAAGAACAAAGGCATTTTGGGCTAAAATAGTACAAGAGAGAAAATTGGAAAAAATCGTTGAAAATAATGCATTAGATGTGCAAATTATACAAGAACCTAATCTCAAGCATACAAGAAGCCGTCCTTGTTATTTATCTGAGAGAAGCGCATGGATGCATTTACTGATTTGCATCTTTAGATATAAAACCAGAAATCCTAATCCTGTTTCTAACAAACTCAAAATGTGAATGAAATGTGGGGAAAGCAAATTATACTAATAAATTATTAGATTAATTTTACTTGTATGCATTATTGATGACCAACCATGTACCCAATTATGCATTGACAGAAGAGGGAAGAGCAATAATGCAAAATCTTTCGGCTTGCTTTCTCCCTTATCAAAATATGTATGTGTGTGTGTGTGTGTTTACATCAGCACGCAAACATCAAAACCAACACAAGCTGGATCCTCAAATCTAATATACTGTCAATTTTAATGGGGATTTAGGACATTGCACTCTGATGGAACTGCTAAATAATTTTATAGAATTAGAAATTAAATTATTATTTTCCTAACATTTGGGGGGAAAATGCTAAGATAAACCACTACTTGATTTTGCAGTAAAATAATAATACTAATAATAATTTAGGAGTGCAACCAAATCAAAGTAATTAAATCTAACAAAAACGAAAATTATTTTCATGATCATAATTACTTGATACCCAAAAACCTGAATAAATTCCAGTAAAATCAAATGTTCCATATGTGTGTGTGTGTGTGTGTGTGTGTGTGTGTGTGTGTATATAGTCTTGACAGAAATGAAAACCATAAGAAGGAGTGTAAGGAAAAATCATTCAATTTTTTTTGGAGATAGATTACCCTACTAAGAAAGGACAGGCTGAAAATAGTTGATAAACCAAAGAGTCTAAAGAATATCACAACGATTTCTCAGAAAATCATGACCTAAAATCAACCTTTCCCAAATCGCTATCTTATTCAAAACATACATTAAGAGAGAGAGAGAGATCAATTACTAACAAAAAGAACGCAAATTTTCCACATAGTACCTCGTTTAAAGCAATAAAAAGCTAAAACCTTTCATACATTAACATGAAAATGATAGTAATCGATAAAAGCTAGAGAGAGAAAGTCTAACAACATACCGATTTATAAGAGTGAGAGAACAACAGGCACTGTGAATTCCCAAATTTCTGAACGAAAGCTTCAATGGCGAATCAAATCAATGGCGGTGGGTGGCTATATAGAGATAGAGATGGAAATCTCAGTATATTTTAGCCTTCAATTGCCAAACGGATCGCGTCGATAACAGCCAAAGTGAGAGAGAGGGAGTAAAAGAAAGTAAACGGCGTCCTAGGGTGAGTTCACTTCACTGTAGTGTCTTCGACTATCTGGATGTAATAATCTAACTTTTTAACACTTCTTAACTGATAAAAAAATAATAATAAATAAAATAAAATAATAATAATAATTGACTTGAGAGCAACAGAAACATTATCAAATTATAATTATTTTTAAGTACAAAAATTGAATTATATTCTCACTGCTTGAATTTATAATTATAATTATAATTATAATTATTTCTAATGAGCTTAACATTAGAAATTTTAACTTTACTGTACAAAATAATAATACTCCATAATTACTTGTCCTCCTCACTGAAAAAAAATAAATTAAAATACCTGTAGTTCCTTTCATAGTTAGTAAAATTCGAACGAAAAAAAAAAAAAGACGAATTCAGGAATGCACGATTATAATTTGATTTCTTTTTCAAAAAAGAAAAGAAATGCGTTACAAAAATTTGATTAAAAAAAAAATAGAAAAAAAAAAAAAAAAAAAAAAAGAGAAAACCGTAAAAGTACTAATATGAATATGTACTTGTATAAATACATTGGATGAATTAAAACACTGAGTCAAAAAATTTGATCATACATATTTTATTCATTTTCTTATATGTCATATACTTACACTTATAGCACCCCATCGCAGTGAAAATTTAAAAAATGACTATACCCCTTCCTTATATTAAAAGATTTCAATAAAATGACAAAAATACTATGTATTACCATCGGACCGCAAAGAATCAATTTTCATATCAATTTAAATTATTAAATTTTACAAAAATAAATTTTTTAATAATTTTTTTTTTCTTAGTTGGTATTTTAATGACATTTGATTATGTGTATTTTTATGGTTTGATTATTAATTTTTTTTTGTTTTGAAAAAAAAAATTAGATAGGGTAACATAATATTTACAAGATGGGGAAAAAATAAAAGGATAATAGAGTCTTTTGGTTTGACAAAATTTTTTATTTATTAAACTACTATTATATTTATTAAGTGTATGAAAGATTTTTAAGAAAAGTTAAAACAATAAAGATCAATCATTCCATTCATGTATAATTTGTTCAAACTGAAAAAAAATATTAATAATTTACCCTTTTATTTTCACCATATGATAAAAATGATAGATACCATAGATATTTATATATATATATTTGTCATTCAAAGTCTCAAAGGTCTAAAGTCAATATGGCAATATAAAGGCATAAAGCCAAGTCAGAAAAGGCATATAAATCTTGAAGCAAAGCAAATAAATGAAGAACAGATTCCAGATTTGTGGAGAAAACAGAGTCCAACACTCTGCAAACGGAACCATCATGAAAAAAAGTAACAAACTGGAGAGATCGAAAGGTCTGGCCATCAGTACGGTAACCGCTCCAAAGTTACAACCACAAGGAGCTCTGACAAACAAAATCCCACACAAGATCCAATCAAGAAAAAAATGATCAAATCTAAGCGGGAAAAAAATCCAAAACCGGCCTAGATCATAGATCTAGCCGGAGAAAAATAATAGATCTGTCCAATTGAGCCGAAAATGAAACAAACAAGAGCAGATCTGGTCAACAAATACAAAAACATCGTAAAAAAAAAAAATCCACGGAACGTACTTATTCGAACATACTGAGTTTAATGTAACTGTAGGAGGCAGCTAGCAACTCCCCACTCCCATGGAAAGAAGCGCAGAAGGAAGAAGACCAAGGCTTGTTTAGAGAGAGAAAGGTAGAGGGATGTGGGATCGTTTTTCTGTCGGTGAGATATTTTTTGATAGATACGATATTAACTTTGCACCACTTTTGTCTCTACTAACTAGTCACAAACTACCATCCACATTCTTTGCCAATCTCAACTTTTTTATTTTTTCATATGGTGAAAAAGAACAAAAGACAAAATAAAATTTTCTTTCTTTTATTTATTTTAATTTTTAGCAACCAAAAGGAATAGAACTCGTATTGTGCGTATAGGAAATTTTCCTTCACTAACAAAGAATCTATGGACTGAGCATTATAAATAAATATATTGAAATTGGAAAATATTGCTCTTGGAATTTATGGGTTTCTTTAATCTGGGTTTGAGTGTTAAGTCAAACTAAGGACATTTAGACTATATTATTATATTGTATTGTAGAGCAAGCTAGCACGAAGTTTCTGAATATTGCCTCGGGTATAGATACGGACAGCCTTTAATTTCTGGTCTTGTGTTGTTAAGGTCCAAAAAAGTTTGCCATGACTTTTAGTTTTTGACTACATTGTGTGTTACAAGCCAACTTTCATTAGTTTACCCTCAACAACTCCATCGACGAGACTTGCCCAAAATGTTTTCTTTTTCACTTCCATTCTATGTTCTGTCCTTCGTCTTGACTAAATCCGCCAACCAAACATAATTCATTCAGTCCCAAGTATTGCATTTTCTCCGCTTTGCGCCAGATATGAAAAAAGAGGAAAATAGCGTAGGGAAGGTGGTCTAATAACCATCACCACTCCCATCCTCTCTGTTATTCAAATTAATGTGCCTATAGAGTGACAAAGATGCAGAATTAAGTGAAACTATACAAACATCAGAAATGGCATTTCTTTCCATGATAGCGATCAAATTGAATATAATATACTGGAAAATGTCATTTTACAAGATAAAAGCAAAAAAAAATCTCATAGGATTTGCAAAGTACTTAATGAAATATGTTTACAGTATATCTGAGCTATTCCCAACTGGTTATTTGATCCTCACCTGTATAGCATAAATTTTGCAGGGGAATAGACCTTCAGAAAAAGATAAGGCATAAAATAAAACAACAAAAAAGAAAGATGGATACTCTGTTGAGAGATGTGTCAAGCTGCATTTCCTGCCGTCTCATCCTAGGGCTGCCACTCCCCATGACTGGGTAAGAATTCTGATTAGGATACGCAAATACACTTGTGTCCGAGTTCCCAAACATCCTCGCAAAGACCATCTCACCAAACATCCCAACTATTGGACTGAAAACATTGGACGTCACTGCAGTGCCCCCAAAGTTGGATGTTGCCATGGAGGTATAATCGCCATAAGGGTGAGGGAAGTATTGTTGGTGATCAAAAGACTGAGATTGTGATTGGAAAGGATTAGGACGAAGCTGCTCATTTGGATGGGAAGTCACTGAGGTTAACAAGGTGTGCACCCCAAGAGCAGGTGGTCGGTGGGGTATGACAAGATCCAGTCGAGGCTTTCTGGAATTGGATTGGGATGGGGATGAACCACCCCGGCCATATAGTGGGACCAATGAAGAAGGGGAGATGTTAGCTTTACAGACAGGGCACTTGGGCTGCTCATCTGACTCAGGGGAGGAGCCTTGGACATTGAGCCACTTGTAAATGCAAGGCCAGCAGTAAAGGTGACCACAAAGGGTGACCACGGGGTCATTTGCAGAATCTAAGCATATGTTGCACTCAAAGGAGCCATTCACATTTTCTGAAGCTGCTGTTGGAGCTGAAATTGCCTCCCCTGTGGATCCTTGGAAGTTTTGTTCAAATGCCATGAATTCTGTTTTAAAATGAAGACTTCTCATAATACAAAAATCACAAATATACTTTCAAAATGAGAAAAGAAGACACTTTACACAAATACTCATATGTGTGTGTTTCTACATTAATAAGATGTAACGTTCATTCCCATGGTAGATCACAAGTTCGCATTTCTTAGAACACAATAGAATAGGTAGTTCTAAATAATCATGCTGATATACCACAAGGTCATGAAGACACCCTCCTAAACTAGAGTTATTAACACAGAAGTAGCTGAGCTTCTCCAAGCATAAAAAACAATGGACCTCAAATTTCCTTTAGGCAAAAGGATAAGCACATGTTAATCTGTGAGACTTCTGATAGTATCAGTAAAATTATACGAAAGGTAAATGTTTCTCCATTCACCCATGCATATCAAAGATAATATAAGTAATGAATTGAGCCGAATCACTTCTCACTCCAACCAAATGAAGCAAAGTAAGGATGACCAACAGAGTGCCACCAGCATAAATTAGGTTGAATGATTATACCGAACAAATTAGGTTTAAAAAATCTGACGGAAAAAAGTTGGGCATAAATTAGCGTGAGCCTTCGGAAATCGTGAGTATCATTAACCTAACAATTAGAGAAACAACATGTACATCATTCCAGAAAAAATAGATAACTAGTTGTTCGATTTGAGAGAAAACACAAGGAAACCATAAGATAAAACTGAACAAATTTGGAGGATGGGTTTTATATATCAACCAGCAGAGAGGGGTAAATTTTTTTTTTTCCCAGTAAAATCAAATGTTCCATATATGCGTGTGTATATATATATATAGTCTTGACGGAAATGTAAACCATAAGAAAAAAATCATCCAATTTTTTTTGGGAGATTGATTACCCAAATCTTAGTTTTAGGAGAAAAATGATGGAAAGAAAGGACAGGCTGAAAATAGCTGATAAACCAAAGAGTCTAAAGAATATCACAACGATTTCTCAGAAAATCATGACCTAAAATCAACTTTTCCCAAATCGCTATCTTAATCAAAAGGTACATTAAGAGAGAGATCAATTACTAACAAAAAGAACGGAAATTTTCCACATAGTATCTCGTTTAAAGCAATAAAAATCTAAAACCGTTAATACATTAACATGAAAATGATAGTAATCGATAAAAGCTAGAGAGAGAAAGTCTAACAACATACCGATTTATAAGAGTGAGAGAACAACAGGCACTATGAATTCCCAATTTTCTGAACGAAAACTACAATGGCGAATCAAATCAATGGCGGTTGGTAGCTATATAGAGATAGAGATGGAAATCTCAGTGTATTTTAGCCTTCAATGGCCAAACGGATCGCGTCGATCACAACCAAAGTTAGAGAGAGAAAATAGCGGGGAAGATAACAATGGTTCTCTTTTAGGGGAACGTTAATATATATAGAGAGAGAGAGTAAAAGAAAGTAAACCGCGTGGTAGGGTGAGTTCCAAATTGACTAGAGAGCAACAGAAAAATTATCAAATTATAACTATTTTTAAAATACAAAAATTGATTTCTATTCTCACTGTTTGAATTTATAAATCACCTCAACATTAAAATTTTTAACTCTACTGTACAAAATAATAATACTCCTCACTGAAAAAAATAAATTAAAATACTTGTAGTTCTTTTCATAGTTAGTAAAATACGTAAGAAAAAAAAAAAAAAAAAGGGGATTCAGGTATGCACGATTATAATTTGAATTTATTTATTTATTTATTTAAAAATACGTTACAAAAAATCGATAAAAAAAAAAGGTTAAAGTACTAATATGAATATGCACTTGTATAATATATTGTATGAATTAAAAATTTGAGACAAAAAAAAATTATTATACATATTTTATTTATTTTCTTATATGTCATGTACGTAATGCGTATAACATGATTTAAATGACTTATTTATAATTCTCAACATTAAACAACCCTGCTCTAAATATAAAATCTAAAACGTATATCTAATCATGAAGGTCAAAATTTAAAGATTGAAATAAAGGATAAGATATTGTTTAAGTTCAACAATTCCCTCTTCTTATTTTATTTATTACGTTTGATATTATTATAAGCCTGTCCAACATATGTAATCCATCTTTTATACGGCCGCCTTGCTAAAAATTGTATTTGATTATTGTGAATGAAAATTGTCAGTGCCCAGTTGCGTTTTTTTCTGTCCCAAAATTTTTGTTTATTTTTTTAATTTTTTTATATCCTAAAATTCTAGTTTCATTTTAAAAAGTAAATGTAGAAAGATCATGTATTTTTTTTTTTTTTTTCAAAGTATCATTAACTTTTGAGAAAATATTCAACAAAACAAAGTCTTAAATTTTAATTATGTATTTTTTAAATTTCAAAAAGAAGCAACGCATTAAATGTCTCTCAAGAATTTTTTATCAAGTATTAGTTACCATTGTAATTAAGAAACGGTAGTTCAGTTCTCATTTTCCTTAGGGAAGCAATACTCAATTTTAATTTAATATTCTACTTTTATTTTTAATTTTTAAATTACCTTCAAAAAGAAAAGAAAAAATATTGGAGAATTATGAGATACTTCAATAGATATAACACTATTGCGGAACAAAACTATATATATATATATATATATATAGTTAAAATTAACAAATTATTTTTACAGCTTTAATGGCTTCTTTCATGTCCCACATTTTCAATTCAATAGGAGGGTTATTATTGTCATCAACAAGATTGCAACTAGAAGTGTACAAGTTGAACAAATCAACCTTTGTTAGCCTTCTCGATTTCTCTCTCATCTGGTCAATTTCTTTGTTCAATCGAATCCCGGTTATACTCTTTCATTGACTAGGGTTCCTGTAGAACAAATTCAAGTAAATCAAAATGGTCATGTTTCCTTAATTCCTGCACCATAAAAGGTATCAGCACCAAATTTGCAGTTTGCCTTTTATAAATTCTTGAACCAGAATCTTTGGGCTTGATTGTAGAGTTAGGCCGAGGACGGGGTTGGAGGGGACGTGCAGGTCGGATAGCGTGGGAGGGTGATTGGTTGTGGATCCGATGGGGGTCTTGAGTCCAGAACCGTCACTGCAAAACGAATCAGAAATGTACAGGCATCTGGACCTCGGTTTTGTATACTTTAGTTAAATACCGGGTAACACTGTGTTGGTTTTGTATACTTTGATAATATACAAGATACCTTCACTTTCTACTTTGAAAGGTAGATCAGAAACCGCTTGACTAAAATTCTCGGTTGTTAGGTCATTGTAACGTAACCTAAGTATACTGCAAAGGAAAGTTAGATTGGTTGGGAAAATATATGGGGCAGATCCTGATACACAGTTGATAACAGTACAATATTAGTAGTAGAAATGACAAATGAGTCCTGATAAGAGTGTCCCACAGGATGGTATTTCAAAGAGCATGATAAACATGTTGTTTATGACTCAGTTTCAGACATCTATCTCACAGTAACTGTTCAAGATAACAGCTCCATTTTGCTACTAATGGTGACTTAAACCCTACATCTCCTCCTTTAGGGGTTGCAGGACGTGCTACTCAAGATTCACCATCAATCAAGTTGTGCTCTAAGAGATGCTTAATTTTCACTTTCACACGTCCATCTACCAAACATTGTCCCATAACTTGGAAACCAATCATATTGCGCACAGAATTATAAATTTAGCATCTATTGCCTAATAATAAAACACAATTTATTTTTTCATCTGGTAAGATGACCTAATAAAACCCCAACCCCCACCCAAAAAAAAAATGAAAAAAAAAAAAGGTGTCTCTTACGGGTTGTTACACGTATCCTATCTCAGCATTATGGTCAATTAACATTAATAATTTAGTTAAATCACATTTTATCACATCTTTCATTGTTATTTCAATCCACGTTAAATTTGTCCTACTTTTTGTCCTACTTTTTTGTTAAATAGCATTCTCTCACACATTTCCTTGTTATTTCAATCCACACTAATTTTGTCCTACCTCTTTCGTTAAGATTACTCTCAATGTGGACAAGGACACTCCTAGGTCTTTGCTTCACATGACAAACCCATCCTACTCAATTTTCTCTATTTTATTTCAAGTAGATGTCACATCTATCATGAATGGTGAATATTTACATTTCAATTTTATTCTTTCTTGTCATACCTCATATTTTAACATGCACATTTTAACGTATTTAAACCAAGTTGATCCTACAGTTTTTCTCAACACCTCACAGATCATCAACAAAGATAATACAGCATGGAGTTTTTTTTGGTAACCCAAGAAGATAATTCCTCTGGAAGAATCATCTAAAAAAATAATAATGCTAAAAAATATATATACATACCATCAAGAAAACTGAATATTGGGAAAACATGGGCAATGATAATAAGAATTATGTAAAGATTGAAAATCTCACACCAATGCCACTATAGAACTAACATTTATTAATTGGCCAATACTCGAATCTAACTAAATCGGTACATGGCATCAAGAAACAGGCACTGTGCAGTTTAATCCATATATACAAGAATTCTAAAAGAGCCCGTTCAGAAAATTTAAGATAAAGGTAACTAGATATCTGAAGAAAAGCAGGAAACATAGCAGCATCCGACAGCTATACAGGAGTATATCGTGTTTATTGAGGAGCATGCTATCTCGACTTGTGACCTCGTAAGCTTTAGAGAGGAAACAAATTTAAGAGACATCTTAATTCCCAGAAGGAATTTATATACTTACCACGTCTACAAGAATTTTTCTATGCTGCTGGTCAGTGTTGATTTTGGAACTGCACCAATAACTGCATCTTTCTTCTCCCCATTCTTGAAGATTATGACAGTCGGGATGCTTCGGATCCCATATCTTGTTGCAATTGAGGGGCTCTCATCAGTGTTCACCTTGTAGCATTTGAGCTTCCCAGCATACTGCATGGCCAATTCATCGATAACAGGGTGGATCATACGGCATGGCCCACACCATGGAGCCCAAAATTCAACCAGAACTGGAGAATCAGACTCAAGCACAAGTGACTGCCATGTTGTATCAGTGACAGCAGGCACTGCAGTTATTTAAGAAACAAGAAAGTTCATGATGCAAGTTGGATGTAATATTATTGTTTTCATACAACGGTGAAAATTAAATCATAAGCATCAATAAATGAAATACTACCATAAGATTTGGCAAATTTTGAATCTCAAAACAAAATACGTGGCCAGATTCCTAAAACAAATGACCAATGTACTGACCAATACCATCAATTATTGTAGAAGCAGCATGAACACTTCCAAGGAGTAAAGAAAAGTAATTATTATAGTGCCCACCAATTGGACACTTGAAAAATACTTCTCAGACACCCACCAAATTTGTGACTGACTAACCTTCAATGTTAGTATATAATAAATTCCATGTGATGCAGAGAAAAGTGAAAAATATTTAAAAGTAATAAAAAGAGGATTTATAAAAAGATTAAATTTTGTACCACCTAAAAAAAACAGAATTACCATACATTATCATATATAGCTCATGCAGTCAGAAAGGAGAGCATCATAAATTACGTCCAAACACATAACAAAAGCCAAGCCCTTGTTGTGTTCGTGTCTGTTCAATGATTGGTTATTGATTCTTGTGGCTTAAAGGTTACAAATTCCATATTACAACCATAGGTATTAGCTTTTGTCAACCATGGACTTGGGTATGTGTCGTGCAAGCATGTGTCTGTGCGTCAAACATATCAAATCTCCAAACTCAAGGGGACAGAGACATGGCCAAAGATTCATATTATTTAAAAAAATACATTTGCTTTCTAGAGTAACATAATGCTTTCACTCGTTTTGAAGCAATAATGTAATGAAAAGAACAAAATATGCGAGTTTCATGTACGGTGATAAATTTGAAATATTATAGAAATCTAAATGGGCATGGCCAAGTGGTAAGGCAACACTTTTGCTCCCACTATTCAGAGGCTCAAACTCTTTTGTCTTGGAGCATATCCCTTCTATCAGAATGAAGCTTCTAAACCTGCCTTCAGGAACGGATCTATAGTTTGCCAAGTGGGGGCGTTTGCCCCTACTGTTATTTATTTATTTATATTACATACCTATAATTTTGTTAAAATCCTAATAACACCCCCACAAAAATTTTACAAAACCCCACTATATATGCTTGTCCCACTGGATTTTTGGGTCCTAATCGACTTTCTCTAACTCTATGTTTTCTCACACTCTCCATCGTCTCTCTTTCCACCACCACACACACACACACACACACTCTTGTGACGATCGGGCAGTTCGGGTATTCTATTTGTCTAAAAATAAATAAATATATATCTATACATGTATGTATAATATGATAAAAGTGATAATAACAAAATCTATTTCTTTGCTTATTATTGTTCAAAATTTTGCAATCAAGTTGCACTTAAATATAATTGATCATTTTAATCTAATCAAATTGCAGTTAAATTTTGCAATCAAGTTGCATTGTGGTTAGTAAAAATATCAATTAGCATTAAAGTTCTTTTGTTTATTATGATAGTTTGAATTTTTTATTATTTTTTTTGTCTTATAGTTGTTGTCCCCCTCCAAAATAATATTCGAGTTCCAGCAATGCCTGCCCTGATTCAGAATTTCAATACAAATACAGTAGATATAATGCTAATACAATAGATGCTTTAAACCTATACACTAGGTTTATTCCATTTTTAACTTCAAACAACTTAACGTAGACTTCACACTAGTTTCAGGACTAACTAAAAAATTCAATTACAACAATGACTTCAACAACCGGTTAAAGATCAAGAGTTCTCCAACCTAGTTCGGCATTAATTCAAGAGTTCTCCAACCTAGTTCGGTAGAGTCATTAATATAATATTAGAGAATCACAAAAATTAATTAGCCACTATTTCAACGCCTACTAAATTTTAATTCAATTACAACAATGAGTTAAACAACCAGTTAAAGATCAAGAGTTCGTCAACCTTCTCCAACCTAGTTCAATAGAATCATTAAAATTAATTAGCTCACGAAATTTAAAATATTGTCAAGCACTAGCTTTCATTTTTGCACGAAATGGACAACAACAAACCAACTTCATCCCGATTAACATTTACTTCCTACAAGAACCATAACTCGCGTCAAAAAAAATTTGTTCACAATAAAAAATGAGTTCAACTACTATCACTAAATTTTATATATACAATAAATAAAAACATGCATATAACTGTGTTTCTGAGTTTTGATTGACAGAAAATTTAGATTCAATCGAACACTGAAAGAGAAAAGAGGGAAATAGACCTTCAACGGCGGTCTCCTGAGCCTCGCATACGATTCGTCCACCACGACGAACTAGTCTCGACCTCGAACTAACCGATCCCATAAAGCGACTCGAATATCTCGATTGGATCTTAAGGCCTCTAAATTCCGGCAGATTGACCGATTTACAGCTACCGGAAAGTGCAGAAATCGATGAACTTGAGATCGGAGCCAATGAAGCCGCCGGCAAACCGGCATGGCGAGGGACAGTGAGGGTTTCAAGTACACCAGCCATTGAAGAAAACGATCAAAACTATATATGGAGAGAATCGTGTAGAAATGTGGAGTAGATGATCGGAGATCTGAGGGATTGGACTTCCCACAGGGAGGGAGAGAGAGAGAGAGAGAGAGAGAGAGAGAGAGAGACAGGTAACTCACGTTTCTTTAGTTATCGAGGTGGAGATGAATGATTGAAGAGGAGAGAGTTGGACGGATATGTATGTGGGGTCCATTCCACGTGACTTGCACTTGATACGGAGACACGTTAGGTCTTTGGGTTGGGTTCGGGAGATTGGGCTTTTAAGTATGGCGATCTTATTGGGCCCACGAGTTGGGTTTTTGGTAAAGTTAATCGTGCAAGTTATTGCTGTGTCTAACCAAGTCAAAGACTCGAGGGTGACCGCTGCCGACTGGAAGGAAGTTTTTTTTTTTTTTTTTTTGGACATGATAGATATTAAAGGATCTTGTGGTTGATTCAATAATAAAAAATAAAAAATAAAAGAAAAAATAAAACCACCTAATAAAATTCATAATACCATAAGGTACAAATACTTCCAAGAAACTTGTGTGCCAATCAAATTTTAGATTTTATGTTTTAGAGGAAAAATCCTTGCACATCATTTAATTTGATTGACCAAAGAGCATGTTCTTGGTAGGAGATCATAGCGGCACACATGGCATTCAGTCAAGATTCACACAGTAATAAAGGCCTAACCTTTGTTTTTTTTTTCACAGTAAAGGCCTAACTTGGCATCCTTCTATTATTATGCAGTATAAGTATTTTATTTTTTACTGTATTATATATATATATATATATATATATATATATATATATATATAAAATTACGGTGATGTCAAAACTCTTAAAATACTCATAATTTACTATTGGGTATACTCAATCTCTCGTCCTCCATTCACCAAATAATTATCAAAAAAAAATTGATAACAATGATCCAAAAACTTTACCCTAAAATAGATGTTGCGAAGTGTTAATAGGTCACATTATAATTTATAACTTGAGGTCGGGATTAATTGTTTCCTAAATGAGATTGAACTCCTTAAGCTTAAATTCTTTTCCCTCATGAATGACATATGAATTGCAATTCATAACAGTTTGATTAAAGAAACAAAAACAATTACATGAATCAAATTCCCAATTGAATTTCCTAATCAGAATTTCTATTTATTTATTTTTTTAATAAAAAAAAAAGGAACTATTTTCGTTTTGAAAACATGTAATATGATCACATTTATGGGGGTCGAATTTTCAAATTTACCAGTAAAATAGTAAAAGGCTGCATAGTGCATACATTGTAGAGACGAATCATATGAGTAAGAATCTCACACGCTTGTCATGACAATTCCATGCTTTTCCCGTGTCAGTAAACAAAGACAAACATGAGCACACAAATACAACGCCCCTCTATATCACGTCGGATGTCGTCTCATCCAATCAAACTTAAACTTGGATCAAACAGTGGCACAAACCCATTGGATAGTGTAAAACTTTTCTGTATGAAGATGCGTGGTACACCATCTTTACTTTTCAAATCGGCTTAATATTCTCTTCCTCAATACAGTCAAGTCAGTCAAATTTGTTCCTCCCTCTCTCTCCAACTATTCCAACACACTCTTTATATGTATAGATTATATATATATATATATGTATGTATGTATATATAAGTTTATTTTGTTATTCTTCTCTTCATATATATGGTCAAAGTTCAACCTTTTTTTGTGTTGACAGCTCCAGTACTCTCTCTCTCCCTAATGGAGAAGCCGAAGGCATGGAAAGAAAAGCAAGGCTTCCAACATAAGGTTGATGGTTGTTCAACAGAAGAAGTGGAATTGGCTGCAATTGCTATTGGTCTCAACATAAGGTTGAGATCGGCCGACATGCCGGTCAACATGCAAGAACGTGCCCTGCGATTCACCCGAACGCTCGTCGACGAAACGCCGCCCAACACCCGCCCCAATCACACCCACCTAGCTCGAGCTCTCAAAAAGGTCCCCCCCTCTCTCTCTCTCTATACAAATATATATGTTATGGAACTTATGGTTTATTTTGCAGGAGTTTGAGTCGTTGTATGGACCGGCATGAACTGAGTTGTGTTTTGTGTTGGTTTTGTTTTGCAGGAGTTTGACTCGTCGTATGGACCGGCATGGCACTGTGTGGTGGGGAAGAGTTTTGGATCGTTCGTGACTCACTCACCGGGTGGGTTCGTCTACTTTTCTCTGGACTCGCTCTTCATCCTTCTCTTCAAAACAGAGGTTCATTTGGTCAAGGAACAGCCATGAATTGTCGACTTGGATTTTCGGACACTGTTGGAGGACATATCAAATGGAACGCTATAGAACAACTTTGAGCATGTAATCGATGTGTTTCTATTTTAATTTATTTCTTTTTTTTAGAGAAGCCAAATTTTGATCAGTAAAAATTCTCAAAGGTGTTTTGTATAATTAGCCCAAATCCCTCGGTAATAGTCTACCAATTACTTTTTCTTTTATATTTCTTTTGGATTGTTGAACATAATTGAGACAGAATTAGTCCATCGTTGCCGACCTTGCCATTGGATTATATCATTTTTAAAATAAATGTGGCCAAAAAACATATAAATGTGTAATATATACACACACATACATACACTTTCAAAATAGCTGCTTTCTAAATAAATGTATTCTGTTTCTAATTGTGGTTTGAGAATTAATCATTTTGATAAAGAGCAATAAGTAATTCTTAATTTTTTTTTAATTCTAAGACGGTGTTTCTAAATTTCTAAATATAGTTTGTAAATTGTAATGTAACTATTTTTGCATTCTCACGCATCTTCTCCTCCATGTCTTTTCTTGCCCCCAAGGACATAACGTAGAATGCAAGTCCAAAAGCTCCTACCCACTTCTCTTCCATGGATGCAGCTATGCGTTTCAGGTTAGGTGGAGGGCCTGAAGCTAGTAACTGTGTGTTCATGTGACCTGAAGCTAGTCTGATTATGTGGTCCTGACCTGCCTCTCCCTTTTGTCTCACGCTATCTATCTGAAACTTCCTGCTTTTAAACAACTCCTCTAACCCCTACTCTTTGATTTCTCCATTTAGAGCCTTTTTTAAATGCATCTCCATCCACGTTTATTCAAATCTAGTTGGACCAACTAAATGAGTCAAATGAAAGTATCATTGTAAAGAGAGTTCCACAATAATATAATGTATACACTACACACACAGATTAATACACACACACATATGTGTAACAGTAGAAGATGCTATATACCAACCAAAAGGGAAATAATACATGAAGTTTACAAGAAGTGCAAAAAAGGTACAAAAAACATCAAACCACCAAAAGGACCCAAAACCACTTATATACATATTGACCCTCCCCAGACCAATGGCAGGGCGTGTACCGTGCTTAGACTTCTAAAGTTTCAATATATTAGCTACAAACTCCATCAAAAGACTGAGCTTTAAGTTGTGAGGAGGAGGACTTCTCAAAAATTGAGCATTTACCAAGCTTGGATGTACCACCACAGGGAGGGAGGGCCTTCATTCTACCATTTCTACAGGTTTAAGAGCTAAATGAACAATAGCTATGGTTTGAGCAACTTAATTTTCTTATTCATTATTCTTTACTCCATTATTAATGAGACTCAAGTACCGCGAGGAATAAATATACAAAAAGAGGAAATTACTTGAAGCAATTTTCACCTCCCAACCCCCACAAAACTTCTACATCAATCTCTATTACGATTTTCTTAGAATAACCGATCAAATGTAAAAGTGTTAAAATATATAATTGTTAAAATTAATGTAAAACAAAAATGAAGATAGACCTAACCTTTGTCATTTTCTTCTAGTGTGGCTGTCCTCGAACTTGAACTTGAATCCTTGTGCTTGTCAGTTCGTGCTTTTTCCATTGCATCAATCTTAAACCAAAAATTAAATTAGAGGAATATTACTTAAACAAAAAAATTAAGACTCAGTCAACGCGAACACAAAGTTCTGTTCACCCCATTCTCATTAAATATCATGATCATTGATTCCAAATTAAGAATAGTACATTCTAGTTCAGCAAAACTATATAAAAAGAGATGAACAGAATATGAAAGTACATGAAACTTTGAATTTCAACAGCCTGGTACTAGGAAGAAAAGGGGCCATAAAGTGGTTTGTAGACATTGCAAGCTCTTAACTCTATCGAATAAAGGAAAATGATTAACTTATATACTACTTTCAATCGTTTCGTCTGGTCAGGCCAGAAAGCTATAGCCTCTAGATGAAGAAGATGATGATGAAGAAGAATGCCACTGAAGCAAGTGTAAAAATTAAATGAGAGCTGCTTCTTGCCAGTGCATGCTAGGCTCGCTTTCTCTAGGTTCATTTGCAACTAAGACAAATTTCTCTCACGCATAAAAGCTTCTATCTTCTCAACATCTTCTGGGACATCAACACCGTGAGCCTCGTGATCAACTTTTATCACCTGCGACAAAAGAATAATATGAATATTTGGACCATCCCAACAAGGAAAGAAAATATACCAATGCTCTATTCAATCAATGTTAAATGTCAAAAAGTGAGGTATCAAACAACAAAACCCAGTTTGGACACACTGAGTATAAACGTTCCTCCTTTCCCTCTTTATTTTCTTTTCCTTTTTCTTTCAGAATATATCTTACACCACCTTTGACTGTTGAGCATTTAGTTTGAGTATATTGGTTGCACCTAAGATGGTAAGATTAGAGTTTCATAAGACCACACACTTGTGATAGCCGCTTAGTTCCAATTTCTGAGAATACCACTTGGGAAGTCAACGTGCATTTAAATGACATGCAAATTAAGACAGAGTCATCTCATTTCCATGGATAAATTTGTGAAAAGAAAAAAGGGGAAATCAATGGATGTACTTGTCACAGATATTAAACTCTGTAACAGAAAAAGGAGAACACATGAATCAAATATGATTCATCCTCAAATATGCAAGGAGTGGAAACAATTTGGAACGAGAAGCACATCTGATGAGAAAAATTACATATATTGGAAGATTTAGTAAAGCAGATATGAAATAAAAACTTTAGGCAGGCCCAGGGGAGAGAAAAAAAAAAAAAAAAAAAGGCAGGAGAATCAAAGAAAATACTGAGCAATGTTACAAATTATTTTAGGAAAGGTTTGAAAAAGCATATTTAGTCTGCAAGGTTCCCCCAATTTTCCAAATCATTTGCCATGGAAAATATCAAATCTCATTTTAGATGATCAGCAATTAATACGGCTTAGGCACACGCTAATATTCAGTTTTAGAGCCAAAATAACCTGATATGCGTCAGCATGAACAAAATCAGAACAAGTGCTTTTAGTTTCTTACAATGCTTACCGGAACCACACATAACGACATATGGGTATATGTGAATAAAATTTTCCTTTTCATTTTCTTATTAGTATGTGAACACTTGAAAGTTGTAACTTGAGAAAAAATTATTTATTGCAGGGGCCAATGCATTCGAGTGCCAAGAAAATTATGTGCATTCAATTCTAAAATTTCTCTAGCTTTTAGGCACAAGTTCATGCATAATTTATCAAATTGGCGATAGAAACTAGATAAGACGTCACAGAGCCTATTCTGAAAATCCTTCGGAAAAACAATTATTTATTTATTTTTAATTTTTTTTAATGTTACCAAAAACAAAAGCATAAACTTCAATTGACAAATGAAACAGAAAGGATTAAATTTATGTACATTGGCCAAATGTTTGTAACAACTTCAAAGAAGCATCGAGATGTCAGATTTTAGCAAGACATCGGGAAAAACAAGAATCAATCCAAGGAATAAAGAATTAAGAACACTACTGATACCTTCATCTTATACCCATTCTCAAGAACTTTTAATTGTTCCAGGTCCTCTTCTAGTTGCAACGGAGTAGGAGGCAGCTCCGGATATATCCTGAGGAACTTTGAATCATAGCTCTGACAGATATCAGAAACACAATATTGTTTACTCAAGAGTATAGACAACATGGGCAGCATACACTCATCTACAGAACCACATACAAAAAAATCATTTAAAGGAAATAATTCACTATAATACCTGGATCCCAAGATGAAGCAAATATGGGAAGCGGGGATTGACCTTCCCTGACCTTTATTAAATAGGTGGACAAATTTATCAAGTTTTAGTATGCAGCATATAAAACCACAACCAGATAGAACATAAAAAATAAAAAATAAATAAAATAAAATAAAATAAAAAGCACTAACTTATTATGTGGAATCAATCCTCTTGAAAAATAAATTGCATAACCATGATTATCCACTACGCATTTCACCCGATTTGTATCAAATGCATCTTCAGGTCTCAAAGACGTGACTGCAGTGCTAAACACTGCATCTGGGGCGGCCTGCAGAAGTCAGAATATTATTAGTTGAATAAGACAAAATATACAAATAAAGTAATATGATCCAAAGCAAGCTTATTGTTCCTTAATAACAATTCATGTGTGCAAGATGTATGATCAAAAGTCCAGTTATGCTTAAGGTGGTTCAAAAGTTACTGAGATGTTCACTTCATTTACATAACATGTTGAAGCATGTTAAGAGCTATGTTACCTGAAGTGCTTTGACAATACCATCTATTATTTCAGGTTCAATAAGAGGTTCATCCCCCTGAATATTAACAACGACATCATACTTCTTCTCAAGCTTTTGAAGTGCTTCATTGCAGCGCTCAGTACCTTCATTGCAATGACTATTAGTTATCCACATATAGAATAAATTTTTTGAAAATTCTGTTGAAGGAACAAAAATGGCACTTGCCATTGCTACAAGATTCTGATGTCATTATCACATCAGCGCCAAATCCTCGACAGCAGTCAGCAATCTTTTCATCATCCGTAGCCACAACTAGAGCAAGAAGAAACTATAAATGAGAAAATACACAAACAAACCAACCAGAGAAACAGACAGAGAGAGATGTCAGGATGACGAATATATATGCTGGGTGGTTTCCAGAAACCTGTTTATCGTCAATAAAGCACTGTTCTTATGCTTTTAATGATGATCATGTATACAATACAGAATTTGAATGGAGGAAACTTGTCCAACCTAAGAAGAGTAAAGTAGAGCAATGTCTCAATTTCGGTGCCAGTTTGCGGTTGTTAGCACATCAAAAAGAAACAAGAGATTGTGCTTCAAGAAGCCTACTCAACCTTTTAATCATTAATATGAACTTTAAAATTAGGTAAATCATTTAACCAATCCATAATTCTGCTCATCATAGGGTGTTTGTTAATCATTTTGGTTGGCACATGTTGAATATATTTAGTGTTGGAGAGAATGCTCGTAAAGGAAAGCCCCAACAAGATGAAGCAAGTCAATTACCAATAAAATTAAGATGGAATCAAAATTGAAATCTAGTGGCCATTACTACACTGCAGCATTAAGGTTTATACATTCATATGCAACATTTATGCCTGTCTAAATAGAAGGAATACACTATATAAAAGTTGCATTCATTTTTAGTCTGAAACACGTGGCTCTAAAATATCCTCTTGAGAAGCATTTCCTGAGAATATTATGAATTGGAAAGAACCTCAACATCAAAACTAGTAAAATCAGATGAAGCTCGAGAGTCAAGACATACCAACTCGATCCAATGTGGATGCCAGTTTTGCTCTTTCCCATGTTCTCTGCAAAAGATCAGCTAAAAGAATGAGTGAAGCAATTAATTCCTCATAACCTCTCTCGAAATAGGTTAACACTATTATAAAATATTAAAGGAAGCTAAAAGAAAAGCTTAAATAGTGAAATCATAAGTAAAAGATAAAACAAATGCAACTCTGGATCGTGGGGATCAAGTAAATAGTTATTATATGTGAAGAAAGTACAAGAAATCACAAATGCAATCACGGTCTTCATTCCAACTCCACTTTTATCTCGGCAAGAACATATCCACTTTTATCTCGGCAAGAACATAAAGGACCACAATTCAGCTTAATATTTGTGAAGCTTAGAAACTAGTGCAAGAATTACACCCAACATACTGATCAATTTAAAAACCCATAATTGTAACAATCAATTCTAACTTCACAGATACTTACAAAAAAAAAAACAAAAAAAAAAATCTAGCTTCACAGAAAACACCATCCTCAATATTTCCCTCAAAGATATTAACTTTAAATATCTTCTTGTGGTGTCAACAGTATTTCCGATTTGACTTGTTATTTTACTAGGATTCATATTTACAAATACCCACATGTCTATTTTTCAAAAAAAAAAAAAAAAAATACCCACATGTCTCCTTTCAGTTTCATCTCTCTTCAGCGCCTCAGCTAAGGTTAGGGCTAGGATTTGGGACCAAAAAACCTTCTCTCGGTCTCTGAACGATTTAAAAGCAATTCAATTTGAATATTGTTTCATCAATTCAAATAGAAATTAATATTAGATCTAACAGAAAAAATAAAACAATGCAATATCAAAACAGTTGATCCAGTGAGAGTGTGTGAACAAAGAACAAAATTATCACATCTATATCATCAAAAATAGTTAATCCAGTGAGAGTGTATGTGAACTAAGGAGTAAGGACTTGTGTGTATGTATATTATAAGAATAATGAGAATGAAAATTGGAATTCAGATTAAGGAAAGCGAAACAATTGGAGATTGAGTGTGATGTATACCTGGATCATGGGCTTTCCCAGGATTTGAACAAGAGGTTTGCCTTGGAAGCGAGAGGAAGCGAAACGAGCAGGTATAATTCCAACGACACGGCTCCGAAACTTCGCAGATCGGCGGAGATAAAGGTAGGCGTGAGAGCCTAGAGCCACCGCAACTGCAGCTCCGACCACCAGGCCGTGCACAATCCATGCCTTGGTAGATGTTGAAGATCCAGACGACGTAGACGAAGACGATGGAGTACAGATCGACATTTCAATGTTTGCTATATATTAGTAATATTTTGGGCGCGAGAGAGAGAGGAATGTCCTTGAAATCAGATATGAGAGAGAGCAAGTGGCGTTGAACAGCTAGAGTAAACTCGACTCCGTTTATATATACGTGGCGTCGTTGAGTGTTGTAAATTTGAGAAATTATTGTATGGACCAAGTCCATACACCTCACTTGCTGAGTTGGTGGATTACACCAATTAATTCTAGACACATGTAATAAAAATTTATTTTTATATTCAATTTGCCACATCCGCTTTGCAACATCTGTCTCCTCTTTCAGCCCCCCAATCGCCTCCATCTTTATTCTCCTTCTCGACTCGAGCTGAACTTGCCCTCTCTCTCTATGCAACTGCAAACTTTAAAATCTAAAAGAATCAGAAGTTCAAAACCCATATATCCGGAGCGACGAGCGGCGTTGACGGCTTTCTCGTCCTTCCGGGTGGCGGCGTTGGGAGCCTTCTTGCGGATCACCACCGGCTCCCAGTCTGGAGTGATTAGACCAATTCCTGACATCTCCTCTCTTTTCTCTCTCTCTCTGATTCAGCAACTTGCAAAGGAAGCCGGATTGCGATGGTGAGTTAAAATGGTCGCGTGTGGTTGGCCAATCACGTGAGCGATCGGATTGCGATGGTAGGACTGGTTGGACGGATTGTGCAGAGAGAGAGGGGGGGGCGGCACGCTTGAGAGTTGAGAGACAGCGGCTGAAGCTTGCGAACGGCGAACCCGAACTCGAACAGCGAGGGATGGAAACTGAAGATATGGGTTTTGATTTTTTGAAAAATCTGAAATGATATACCGATATGGGTTTTGATATATATAGATAATAGGTTTTATATTAGTTTCTTGTTTAAATATAAATTTTTATAAAAAATATATATATATTAAATATAAACAAATCATTTTTACTATGCAAATTATTGTATTACGTATATAAATTGATATTATAATTACATATATATTGTCAAAAAAAAATTAAAAATTATTTATTATCATAAATTCACATAATACATGTATATTATTTTTTAATTATAGAAATTATAGCTTAAAATGGATATCGTTTAATCGATTTAAAGGTTAGTAATATTTAATTATGGAAAGTAAATTTGAATCCCCTCTAGATTGGAGGCACTACGCGACTGGGCGGTCGCCTTTTCCCGGACCGGTCCTGTACGGCGCCAACGATCCCACTCACCGTCTAACTCTCACCTACTCCGCAGATCCGAAAATCGGCGAGCTTCAACCAGTTTCGAGAATCGAGCAGGACGTCTTCCGGCTTGATATCGCGATGAGCGATCCCCAAAAGGTGATGGTACGCAATCGCGCCGATTAATTACTTCACAATCGGACACACCCGAAATTGGCGAAGTTCAACCGGTTCCAAGAATCGAATAAGACGTTGCCCGGCTTGATATCGCCATGAGCGATCGCCAAACGGTGACAGTACGCGACCATACCGATTAATGACTTCGCAATTGAATCTGCTTCTGGTCCGGAGAATGTGCGCTCGGAGAAATCGGAAGAATCGCAAAGATCCGTGCCTGATCCTGATGTGTAATTTTCACTAATTTAAAAAAAAAAAAAAAAAAAAAACATACACACACTGACACGTGGCTCTCTGTGATTGGCTGGCCCACAAATGAGGTGGTAGGTACCGGACCACCTAATAATTTCACAGTCCGAGATCATTTTCTGTTGTGGGCCCCAGTTCTTCCCAATCCATACGTGGCCTACCAAAAACATAATTTGATTAGCCAGCCAATCAGCTCAAAACCTTCCTTGCTTGAAGATAGTCGTGCCACTCTAAATATGGAGCTAGAACAAGTCTAATGCGCAAAAGCAAACCATGACATGGCTTGGCTAATTAAACAATGTGTTGGAATAAGACATTATCCTTTTTCTATAATCATGTTTCGTGCGACCAAAGATACAACTAATTGTCTTGCTAAGCACTCCCAAACACCAAGTCCACATTTCAAGCATCATTATGAAAATGTAATGCTCTTAAGAAGTAGTGTATTATTATTAATTTACTCGTTTGATTATAAAGATAGAACAAAAGCAATCTTTAAGTATTCTTTATATTATTGACTTCAATACCATCATGTCCTACTTTTGATTGAGCTTTCATAATCTGCATGTATTGTGTAGGACCAAAATAAAGAAATCATATTCATAGTTTGATTGAGCTTTCGTAATTTGCATGTATTGTGTAGGACCAAAATAAAGAAATCATATTCATATTGTAAGTATAATTTAGTTGTTTTCTTAAGTATAGAATTGGAACTCTGGAATTAAAATTTGTAAATTTAAAAAAAAAAAAATTAATTTAATTTTGTGGATGGGCCGAACACAACCTTTCCAATTCCATGCAGCCAAACACAACTTTTGTACTTTTTGAAAAACTCATTTCTCATTTTATATCTTATTTCTTGGATTTCTCTTAATAATTGCCGTCAAGTATAAAATTCTTTATTTGATTATGCAATTGTCAACAATAGTGAGAAAATATATGAAACAGCTTTTAATAACAAAAATATAATGCATGTAATGGTTTTATTTTATTTTTTTTTTTTTGCATGTAATAATATACTCATTATTTGAACTAGATTTCTCCAAGCCACTGATTCAGTGTTCCCAAACCGGCGTTCAAACTTCAAACAACAATTAGAAGCCCTTGAAGTTCATGCCCTACTTCATGCTCAATTTTATGTGGGATTATGTGCTGTAGTTCCTGCAAATCAAGCATTGTATATATAACAAAACACAAGTGCTACAAAAAGAAATATATCATAATTCACAAGGAAATAATGGAACATTAAATATTGAATTATAACTTGCTGTCATGACGCTATAGCCTATTTATACAGTGACTGAATGGCTCATAATCCAAACACAACAAAAGATTATCACAATAGCTATAGCCTATTTATATAGTGACTGAATGGCTCAGAATCTAGACACAACAAAAGATTATCACAATCTCTACATATTGTCAGCTCAAAATTGAAGTCAAAGCAGTAAGACGTACGTACTTTGACTAGGTTTCGAGTAAATCTGCCTTCTGCACTAGATGATCTCATATGAGCTTGAAAAGGTTGGGTCAGTGTCTCACATTGTTGTTGTGCAATCACCGCCAGCAATTCCTGTACAATTGTGTTGGTAGCGTAGTAAGTTATTGTTCATGATGATTTACAAATGAATAAAGAACAAAGAACTGCATGTGAATTAAACTCATACCAGGCAGTGGGATGAAGAAATACTCAAATGTACTGTTTCCAACGTTTCTTCTTCGTACCTTTCTCTTTCTTAGTGCCACTTTCTTCCTGCCACCGCTTCCCCGCCTCCCGATTTGTTTTCACTTTCTTAGCAGGCTGCTTCTCCTTAGATTTCTTCCTCTTCTTGCCAGAGGAAAGTAACTCTCCTGCTCCTGGGAGCAACTTATCAAATGTCACCTCCCCACTAATCCCTCCTTTTCGTTCCAACAGTACCGGGTCTGGTCTTATTATGGTACCCAGAATACTCCTGTTGGGACCTAAGCTTAAAATGGTCTTTGCATTCGTGAGTGCTGAGAAAGCCATAGCAAAAGCTGATCTAACCTGCAGCAGGAAAGAGCTTCACAAGGGAGTTCTCGACAAACCAAAGAGTGAATGGGGGCTTCATCTCATATTAAAATATTGGTTAAATTAAGGCCATGAGATGCAGCATTACTAAGATACAAATTGATACATTAAATCCATAAGTTACAACTCCAAAGCATGCCTCCCAAGCTATGATGCAAAAATTAGAAGTAAACAGACAACTCATATTGAACAAAGAAAAAAACCAAAGAACCAAGGATCAAAACAAAATTTCAATGTGTCACAATTGACTCTCGTCAAATAAAAAAAATTGTCTGCTGTAATTGACTTCTTCTCTAAATTATTATCTCAATATATTGTCCAAATTAATGAACAACCACGTCAAATCCTGATTGTATACCTTACATATACAACAACACAAATAGCGCACATATATTGCTGAGGAATCCCTCGTCCCCATGTGACTAACATAAACTATTCATGAACTAGACTAGAAGAAAAGCACCAAAAGTAGAACAATGTAATCATGGAGAACTTACCTGGTAGTAGTTAAAGGAGTTCTTCCCTACGTCATTCGCTGGTGCCTAATACAACAAAAAATCTTTAGTGAACAAGAATGAAGATTGTATTTATTGCTTTTAAGGGACAAGGGTCAATGGGTCATCCAGTTTCCCACTCTATATTCATTCTGTTCCAACCAGTGTGACGCAACAAGGTGCAGAAATGCAAGTCCTTCATCCCACCACAAAGAAAGGAACAGAGCTCTGTGAACAACTGAACAAAATGTAAAATGAGGTGTATTAACCTCGTGGGGTATTCTAGACAAGCTTGAAGGGTGCAGCCAATCAATCAATAAAAACCAGCTCGCGGTTGAATAAAAGTCAATAACAGTTAACAAACACAATAATGGCGACTCAGGCCAGAGCCATGCCCCTAGATGACTGTGTCCTAAGATTACCCAAGCGGTTTGTCCGGGAAAAAAAAAGGAAGTTAGAAAATTCACAAATTTCAAGGTAACCTGTGGGTCCTCGATGGCGATAAGCATTTGCTGTCCATTAACTGACATCCTAATGGGGAGACAAAACCAAAGAACAAGGATCAAAACAAAATTTATCTTCAACGGGACAATCTATCTCAAAACAAGAAGGTAAAACAAAAAGAAAGAACAAAAAAAAAAAAAGGGAAGAAGAATAATAAGATGTTATCTGTTTTACCATAAAGGAATCTTACCCTCTGGTACTCTTCAAGAAGAATGTGCCTTCCCCTTTGCAAGATACACCAACATCAGATGTGTTCAATTTGCGTCCGTAAATATCAAAGAACTTAACCTAATGTCAGCAAGCAATTCATCAATGAGACAGTAGAAGTCTAAAATATTACTACTAAGTTCCTCAAACATAAAGTTTAAATCAATTCAATTGAATATATATAATCAGCAAGCTAAACAAATTGCACTCTATGGTTAATGTACATTCATATTTACGGATGAGTTGGACCATCTGCATAAGACCGCTTTCTGTTGCATATAATTTCATCCTTCTAGATACAATCAAGTGTATGAAGCTAACCTATCCCCAAGGGACACTTAAAGCATTTGATAACACTGTGCTCATTAGGTGGGTCATGCGGTAAAGCTCCCTCTGAAACTGGGGTGGGGCACCCCTGGTGCCAGATCTCTTTCATAGCAACAACTTAAAGAATATATCTAATTCCCAAAAATAAAAAGGGAAAAACTCTGCAAAATTTTATGACATTTTGCATAAAATATAGTCTATGCTTCTATAAAATATAGTGTCAGTGCAGTTGCTAACATTTGATAACTACACAGATCATTTTATGACATATTATCCATGATATGGTCTCTTTCAATCTTTATTGTAATGATTTCCCAAAAAATCTCTTTTTCCGCCTATGCTTCTATAAAATATAGTGTCAGGACAGTTGCCATTTGATAACTACACTAAACATATTACCACTACATTTAAACAAGTTTTTTTCACTGTAAGTTTCAGATGAATTGTCCTTGGATTTTCATGAACATATGCATGGCATACACATTTATGCAACTTTATTATCTGTGGTTGGCATACACAAACAGCAAAGTTGCAGGGAGCAGACCAAAACCCATTATTTACATAGATTCTTCCTAAAAATTCAACACCATAATGATTGTGCTTATATAGATTCTTCCTAAAAATTCAACACCATAATGCAGAGACTTCTGTTTTACATATATCAAGTATCAACAATCCCTTTCCATTTTTAAATTCAGTAAACAAAATTTTTTTCATACTGTTTAGAAAAGAAAAAAGAAACATAATCCATTGGATATCAACTAATACCTATAGTTCAAGCATCACTTTTAAGCAGAAAAAGGACTAAAAACAATTTCAGTTGTATTTTAACATGTTTAATGTAAATCAACAATGATGTATGTTGCACTAAACCCCATTCAACACAACTTTTTGACAGGAATATCAGTTTTTTGACATATTCACTGACTATGTCACTGCAACAAAAAAATTTGACTAGAACAAGTGAAAGATTGCACAAATAGTTTAAGGAGACATACCAAAAGGATTCCCAAGTTATGCTCTGGAGAAGCTTGGTTCTCATGGAGGTTCTGTATATTCAGGTGCATCATAAAGTGAAAGCAAGATCATGAAAAGGAAAAGGAAAACAAGAAGTTAATGACGAACAGTTTACATGCATAATTTTAAGTACTAGTATTATACATTATTAGCTTATAAGCAGTGCAAAAATTGGTTCTTCCATAACTTGATAATATGCTGGTAATTGAATGAAGAACATCTCAGAATCAACCACTGTAGTCTATATCACCAGCTACACTTATTTGGCAAAAACAATTGATCTTAAATGATTATTTTATTACAGATGAATGTTAATCTATGTAACTCAAAAGCTTGCACAAAATATCAGTCATAATCTCGTAGGAGTAATAGGGCTTTGATATTTTATTCCATCGTTCAATTTAGAAATGCCTTTTTCACCTGGTTAAGCCTTCAAAGAGTGACTCTTTTCTTTACTCCAGCAAGTATCATGTTTCCTCCAACATCATCATCCAGCACCCTAGGCCTATCTCAGTCTGATGCTCATATACCAATAGCGAAATGAATGCGCCCAGTTCCTCACAATTAATTCATGTTTATGGGCCACAACTCAACCATCATTCATTTCTTTCCAACTATGGCTACATTCAATTCCATAGCCTATACATAGATCCAGCCACCAGTGCTTGTAATAGATATGGACGATTCAGCCCAATTAGATGCTCCAGTTCAGTTTTAGATACTTATGTATTGACAACAAATAATAATCAATACACCAACGATTAATGGTTTATACTCCAAAGTTATTAGTCAAGAAATAGTGGCATTACCGCATTAGTAAGTTCTAATTTGGATTTTAGTGCAATAATAATATACGTATGTGTATGTCTATGAATATGTGTGACTTTATTTAGGATGTCCTCTCAAAAATATGGAAGTGCATTCTATTGCTGCAATACATATCATCAATGAGCAAAGGTCTGATGCATAAATTGACAAAATAATAGTGAGACTCTATACGTATCCCACACTAATAAAATTCTATTACACCCTAAAGGTTAAGAGGACAAATCAAGAACATGATTCTTTGAAACTACAAAGAAAATATGTTCCCACAGGTGCTATGCCCACGTGGTATAAATGTAGGACACCCACACTTCTCAAACGCTATATCTGTTTGGGATGTCCTAAAATAGTTCATAAATTGATTCAAGAGGAGAGGGAAAAAAAAAGGAGAAGAACTTTCATCCTAGGCACGAGGTTGAAACTTCCAGGGCATTTTCATACTTCCTAACAAGAGTCTTAAAAATTAGAAAGCACCCTTCTATAGCATAGAAAAAGAAAATGAATATAGAGAAGAAATTCAATTTGCCTTCATTCAAAAACAATAAAATTCAATGTAATTGTTATTAAATAAAAATATGACATGATCAGGGTTTAAAATAGACCAAAGGGCTGGGAAGAGGATGAGAAGAGCTAAATTGTCAAAATTATGTGTGCTTGTACGTATAAATTCTTACATTGTGCGTGTCAGCATCCAAATCTTCACTACGTTTGTATCCCATTTACAAAAATATACCAAGTCAATGTGTTCATAACGAGAAAATCTGTATCACATATCCATTCCCATGCAACATAGTTTGAATAAATAAATAACTAAAATAAAAATAAAAAAGAAGGGGAATGGCCTGGTGTTGGCCATTCCTAGAATAGTAAGAACCCAGTTTGAGAGAGAACTGAAAATCACTCTCTTATTACTTTTTGTTAACCACAATCTACTCAAAAAGCTTAAGCTGTTAGAGAGGTGTAACTTTAAATTATTAAATCCTTCAATATGGCCCCTCACATGTGGCCTTCTTTTCGTCCAATACGTGTTTCAATTTGAATATGAGAACTTGCCTACTTTGATACCATGTTAAAAGTTTAAGCTGTAAGAGAGGGTGAAACTTTAATATTTACATCCTACAAGACTTTTCATTGTAAAACATTAATTAAGATGGCTGAATGAACACCCCCCGTGGGAAAAAATCCTAGGGCTGAAGGAGAAGCTGATTACAATCTTAAGTGAGATCAACATGGTTACAAATGTATTGAATTTTTTTTAACTTACCAAAAAAAAAAAAAATGTAGTAAATCCTTTTTAACATAGCAGACTGTGGTTTCATCCATTCTACTATTCTGATGTGTTAATATTAGAAGTTTACTACATGTCTCTCCATGAACAGAGCCAATATGTGTCTTATGACTCTTATCACATGCTCAAATTATGTTCAAATTCTAAAACAGAATCTCATTTCAAATACCCTCAACGTTGCTATTAGCATGATAAGGAGTGCGTATGAACCAATTCCACCAGAATAGACCTGCAAAGTTCAAAGGACCATTAAAGAGTTCAATGAACAGACTTGAGTAAACAGTTTTCTGGAAAATCAATTAGAATAAAGTGAAATAACCCCCACCTCATTCAACTCTCTTTGTTGTAAGAAAACTTTCAAGATCAAACACAATGGCCGTAATGGGGGCCACTTAGATACAGCATCCTGAAAAGAGATCCACATTCTCCGTAAGCTGAAAGATCCACATGGAAATAGATAGTGCATATCAAACATGATAGCAATTAAGGGATGATAGCCCCAGCTAGAAGAGATATCGAAACACACCTTTATAAACTCAGCAGCTTTTGGTCCGTTTTGCAAATCAAAACTGTGCCCAAACAGATAGGAAATCATAATTCACCCAAATTTCATACATAATAGGATATTTGAGTATCTATTCATTGCCATGCACACAAACATGCAAACAAATATCATTGGAAAACTTGCAAGATATCAAATGCACATAGATTGTTTCAATATTCGAGGTGAACTCATCAACATTTGTATAAATCCAAGCAATTTGATGGGTAAAAACATGTACTGACATCAAATCAACTAGAAACAAACAACCACAAAAAGGAGAAAAAAAAAAAAAAAAAATTATTAAATTCAAGAATAAAAAAGCAAGATCTAAAATTTGCATCACTCAACTATGAGCAGCTTGAGATGACCACATAAAATCATCACAAATCAAAACACTGTTTTGTCATCGAACGGAAAATCATCCACAGAAGATCAGGTACATTATCCATTTCATTCATAATTCATTGTTTGATACAGTAGTAAAAAGCCCAGACTGCCGGGAGTGTCAATGTGAACACAGGATCACGTCTAAGACAGCCACTTCGTCGAATGTTACGTCTAAACCAAACCTACCCCTCCCAAGCACCCTTGATTTACCATCAATATTAGGAGATTTAAGGTTGTTGAACTTTTTATGATTATAATAAAGATATGCAAGAGTTAGGAAAAGATCTACTAAAAAATGTTATAAAATGCAAAAAGGCAAACAGTGGAAGGAAAAAGAAAAAGGAATGCAAACTTACAATATAAAAAGTTCAGATTTAAAAATTAAATAAAGGGCAGCAAAAAATATATACAAATATTTTATTAGGAATTTTTTTAATCCAACGGAAATGGTCACCGAACCTTATATCAAATGCAACACCACTTTTCTTCTCTACAAATTTGATAATTGGCACGCGTGCTTTTGCAATCACCTGAGAAATGAGAATCCCTATATAATTTAGATCATAATTATTAAAGATAATGAAATTCCAATAGTCATTTGTTAACAAGGCAAACCTGTATCTTTTTTGCTATGCCTCTCTGTGATAGGGCCCTAGAAAGAGCCTGTAAGCCAATTTTAGGGGTTTTGATTTCTGATCCCAAAATCACAACCTACAATTTAACAGTCAGACAATTGCTTAGGTTTAGTGAACACCAATAATCAAACATCTTCATACACAGTTCATCCATACAAGGGGAAAAAATCTGCTATTCTAATATAATCACAACCTTGATGAACAAATCATAGACTGCTTCCAGACAATTAAAAAATAAGGAACATAGGTCTTGGGCTTAGAATTGCTGTGATATTGTGGCCCGAATTTGGTGCTGGCCCGCATTGCGACCCGCTTATGACCCAGTGAGGAAATTTTTTGACCCGCTTTTTGCTCATGGGTCGTGGACCCTAATTAGTCTCTTGTAGCCCAATATATAAGGGTACTTAGGGTTTGGAGTGGTGTAAGAGAGAGACTCTGAAATTCGTACAGAAACAGAGCGGGGGGCTAAAAACTTGTAATCTCCGATTTTACCCATAGTGAAAACTTTCGCCGGATCCCAACCGTGGACGTAAGCTATTGCCGAACCACCTATAAATCTTTGTGTTCTTTGTGTGGCGTATTTAATTTTCTATCATAATTATTGGTTCAACTTCGATTCGTTGCATTTGTCATAACAATTGCAAATACATGGTCATGGAGGTAAGCTTTTAGTTGCTAAGTAAATGATTTTAGAAGGTCAAAACAATGCACAGGAAGGAGATTAGGTTGGTAGAAATACGGCCACGTGTGTTGCATGTGAAGATGGGGAAGGCCTACAAATTAATAAATCAACATCCAAGCAAACAACTAGCGACATACAGGTATAACAGTCTTTTCATTAACCAAAAGTTCAATCCAGGATATGAATGATAGTATAAATAGAACTGTAATGCTATCAGAGGTTTTCGTGAAATAAAAACCTCTGATAAATGATTTGGGAAGGTCAAAACAAAGCACAGGAAGGAGTTAGGTTGGTAGAAATACAGCCATGTGCGTTGCAGGTGAAGATGGGGAAGGCCTACAAATTAATAAATCAACATCCAATCAAACAAATAGGTATAATAGTCTTTTCATACACCAAAAGTTCAATCCAGGATACAAATGATAGTATAAATAGAACTGTAATGCTATCAGAGGTTTTCGTGAAATAAAAATAAGTTTAACAAACCATTGACACTAAACTTCAAAAAAAAAAAAATAACATTGACTTTATAAACCTTAGTAGATATACGCACAATTCCTAAAAGTATTTAAAAAATCTAAGTTTAAATACTTTTAGGAATTGTGCGTATTTAAAAAATCTAAGTTTAAATACTTTTATCCTTTATCTTGTTTCCAGTAAGATTGCCTTGGCAAGTGAATAGTCCTCAAAGACCAACCCTTGATAATTTTCTAAAATTCTAATATTTTCTCTGTTCTTTCTATTTCATGTATATAAGACATCATTGGATTACCAACATTAAAATGATCCAGTACCAATTATAAACTAATAGCATGTGGAAGTTTGTAGGTCTAGCTATTGAGTCAGTTTAACCCTCACCACCTGAAGCATAAATGAAATGCTGACTAAACCAAGCAAGACATTCCTAAAGTAGGTGGTAAAATGATAATTTCGGAACATGCCACCCACTATTTACAAATTATTGAAGTATGGGGCATATCTTAACGTACTTCATAAATTTGGTGCAATAAATCATTTTAAATCTTAGGCATTTCAATAAAATAATATTCTTCTATGCATGATTAGTACAACTTTATATGAATAAAAATAGTGCTTACTTGAAAATTATGAATATTTTCTAACTAATAACCAACACTAGCTCGTACCCTATGCTTACAAGATGAAGCAACATGGAAGCATTTATCATTTTTATCCATGCTATGTTAATCACCTAAGTCCATTATATATAATAGACCTCCATAATGTCGGCATATTTCTTAATTTTATACTACTATTAAGATAGCCAACATTGCTAGATACCTTCTTCATTCACCGAGTCACATAATCCATATTATGATAAAGAAGACAAATTATGTTCTGTTGCTTTGTGGTGAGGATAAGAATCAAGTTTGTTAAATGTACAGCAAAACTTTGTGTGAGGACAAATTCTATTTTTGTTCTCCCCCCCCCCCCCCCCCCCCCCCCCCCTGTCTGAAGATTATCGAAACAGTAATGGTCTCTGGATCAAATTAGACTGATCAGTTGGCATGCTTTGAATCGGGATCAAATTAGACTGATCAGTTGGCATGCTTTGAATCATCGAACCTGTCAACCAAAACTATTTTCAATTTTGATCAGCACAAATCAACCCAATCAATCTAGACAAATAAACCAGCCACCATCAATTGCATAAACTGTGAGAGTTCGAGAACATATCTTTCTTTCCAATAAGAACCTTATATTTGATCATCAAAGTCGAACATCAATGTTAAATCTCAAACACTTCCACAAAACAATTATAAGTTTATATAGCTTGGTTTTTCTCTCTCACAAAACAAGCTGAAACAGTTTTCCAAGGAGAATGCATGGTGCAAATGACTATGTGATAAATTATAGAATTTAAGGACTGTATGGGAAAAACTTGATAATCCATAAGAGTATTTAGAACAAAGCGACAAACTTACATCAATATCACTAGTTGGAAGATAAAGCCCTGTCCCGAACGACCCGAAAACCTCTATCTGCAAGCAATTGTAACAATGTAAACTAGTCGAGATTCCAACTTCTGAAAATTAACATTTTTTTAATAAATACAAAAAAAATTACTACATATGCATAAATATAAAATGTTTATACAGAAGGAAAAGAGAGAAAAAGAGTCAGAAAAGATACCTTGCAGTTGGGCCATATGTATCTGATAACATCAAAAACAATATCTACAGCTGTTTTTCTTGTTGCTTGCTCCTCTGGAGTTGGAGAGAGAAACTCACAGAAATCCAGTATCTCTGTAAAACCCACAATCAACTTCCACTGTTTTAACCAAAGGACATTTGGCCCAATGATTCCAATCCTCAAAGAGGAGGGAAGGAGTCCGAGTCCAGGCGTGAACAAAAAAATATTTTGTTTTTGCTTTACCATCCAAAATAAAAAAAAATAAAAAACTTCCACTGTTTTATTATTGAAATCACTTCTAGATGTTCACAACTAGGTTGCTAATCTAAACAATTTCTCAATTTAAATGGATAGATTAAATTCCCTAAAATAAAACCAAATTTTCATATAGTCAATGTAACATAGGGATTCAATTCCCTTGATCATGGAAATTAAAAATTTTACTTGTATATCATATAAAAAACTAATGAGAATTTCCGAATCAGCAAGTAAACATATGTTTACCATTCAAGTACCAGTTCTCAGTCAGAAACTTAAGCATATCATCTGGAAGACAAAATCGATACCTCTATGTAGCTGAAGCATGGGGCTCCTGAACCCACTATTAGCACGAAACCAACCACCCTCCAGTTGCCGTTCCAATTTTCGAGTCGAAGCCGGACTCGATGCCGGCGCCGGAGTCGAAATTAAAGTCTCTTCAGATTCGGTGTCATCCGCACCAACATCGAGAGAAAAGTAGTCGTGTGCGGCGGTTTCCGGCGATTGACAATGGATTGTAGAGAGAGAGATTTGGTTGCGGAACACGACGTAGGGTTCGGAGTCGTCGGAGAGTGGTGGAGGAGGCGGCGGTGTTTGGTCGGTGGCGGAGAGAGGGTTTAGGGTTTCGTAGAAGAAGTCTTGAAATTCCATTGTGTCCGGTAAGCTCGAGAAACCGACTTTCTGACTTCTTACCGGGAGGCCGACTATATTATGAACTAGTTTAAAAGTAGTACTTTTATTGGGAGATAATTTTTTAATTTTAACAGTGTAGGTTTGGAAAAAGGATGGACGAAGGATAGAAGAGAGGTAGGATAGATGAAGCTTCTGCAGTTTGGTTGCAAAGTAGAGAAGAGAAGAAGGAAACAACGAGGGCGGAAGCATACGTGTAAAATTGAGCCTAAGGGTGTGTTTGGTAGGGTTGATTTGGAGGGATAGGGAGAGAAAAGAAAAGAGAGGATAGTGTAGGGTGTGTTTGGGTAAGTTAAGTGGAGGGATAGGGAGGGATAAGGAGAGATAGGAAGGGATAGCTATCCCTTCTTATCTTTCATTTGCTTTCTCCTCAATTTTGAGAAGATAAGGAGAGATAGGGAGAGAAAGGATAGTGATTTTAGTGGTATTTTGATAATACCAAAATTAGCCTCCACAAATCAATACACAGATTTATTATTCCATTCAAGTCCCATGGTTATGAAAGGATAAAAAAGTAATTTGTCTATTATCCTTTCTTTTCTTTTCTCCCCTCTATCTTATCCAAACAAGAATAACTATCCTTTCTTTTCTTTTCTCCCCGGTCTATCCAAACACAAATAGAAATTATTACTATCATTTCTTTTCTTTTCTTTTCTTTTCTCACTAAACTATCCTTTCTTTTCTTTTCTTTTCTCTCATAACTAATATTATCCAAACACACCCTAAGAGACGAGGAAAGGAGGCAAATTTAGGGTAATACTATCAAATTTAATCTTCTATTAATTTAAATATGGAAGGGTAAAGTGAAAAATAAATAAATAAATTTGTAATTCTCATTGTTTATAAGTTCAAACAGTGAGGGTATTTGATATAAAAACTAGGATGGCATCAGGTCGGGGATGGCATAAGTTTGAATACACCTGTACTCGCCACATTTTATTAATGAGAATTATCCGGGCGCGTTGATTTCTCAAAGCAAGACTATGCTTGGGTTGAAAAATCAAAATTCAAATTTAATTAGGGTTGAACTTGAGTTGAAGTGCTAGCAACCTGAACTAATTCGAATCCGATTTTTAATATTATTTTAATATATATATTTACTTTTAAATATATTATATATAATATTTAAGCTATGATTATTTTTTTCCTTTTAACTTCTTTTGTTAAATCTTAACTTATTGTAGGTTAACATTCATGAGAATTAATTCTCTAAAAAATTGTTTATAATTTATTAAAAATCTACAAAAAAATATTTAAATTTTTTCTTATTTAAGAGTAATTTAATTTAAAACTAATTCAAGATCATATTAAATTTTAGGTGTAAGGATTAGCCATATGGATAACCCGAATTAACCCAAACTTTTTATCCGAAATTTAAGTCCGAGTTGCAAGCTCAAATTTAAAAGTAGAATTTGAAAATATTGACTTTGACTTCATGGATTTGGCATTTGGCCACCATAACCCCATTTTTTTGGAATTATCCCTAAAATATATGTTTATGTATGTATGTGTGTGTATATATATATATATATATATAAAATAAGGCGAAAGAGGCGGGTTTTTATCAAACCCTATTCCCTCGTAACCCATGACGAGCCTTCATTTTTTTCCATACATGTACCTTACGATACATGAATGGTTTTCATACCCTTGCCATTAGGGGCGATATGGAGTGGGCCCCCGACGGGGAGGGACAAATTGTCATCTCTACAAAAAAAAAAAAAATTAAACTATTGTTCTCTTCCTTTGAAAAAATAAATAGATACTGCACTTTTGTCTCTATCTATCATTTTTACTATCAATTTCATTCAATAAAACAAAATTAGAGAACATAACTCCCCTTCCCTCCAAATACCCATCCTACCCTCTTTCCTCCCATCTATTTTTTTCATCATTCCAACCCAACAAATCATTGACTGGATTTTTATTCCTATAAATTTTTTGTTTTTAATTTTTATTTATTGATATTTGGAAGTTAAAAGAAAGTAACATTTCAAAAAATTATTTATCCATTCTTTTGACAATCGTTATTTGAAACGAAATTAATAAGAAACTCTAACCACAAATCTTTCTTTCTTTTATTAAAATTACTTTTCTTATAATACTTCGTTTGATATGTGTAATGTTCCATATTTTTTCGCATTTTTCTTTATTTTTATATTTATTATTTCTGAGTGTCAGTTTGTGTGCCACGTGAGTTCCAAATGTTGTTTAGGACATTTTTTAAAGTTTAGAACTCTTATAAATGCATTATGGTTCATTTCGCCATTTTTGGATTTTCGGGCCCGACAGGTCCCGGGTCCAGTTGGGTCAGGTCAGGTCCTCATAGTCGAAAATTTTCCCGACTTTATTGCATTTTCTTATTTATTTTATTTGGTGTATTTATATGTGTTCATAGGCAACTAGATATTTGTTTGGCTTTGTTGTAGTTGTATATAGCCATGGATGATATATTTGTAACTTAGTGTGCATAGAGGGATCCATATTTGACCACACATGTATAGAAAGGAACTAGAATATCAAGTTTTTTGCCCATTCTCTCTCCATCTGAAAATCTTTCACTCTCTCTTTATATTCTTCATTTTTCTCTCTATACACCATAACCACTTCATATAACCTTAGATTTGAGCTATTTAGGTTGAGATTTAGACTTTGAGCTAGAAGGAAAGTTTGATGTACACTACAAGGGCTTCGTTTTGGTACCACTCTTGCATGCATTAGAGTATTTTCTTCTTTGAAACACTTAGGGTTTTGGTTTGAATTTGAGCTAGGGGTGTCTAACCCGCAAAACTTTGCCTCATTGTGAATTTTCTACATATTAATTTTATCTTGAGTATGTAAACTTTGGATATATATACATATACTTGCCTTAGTTTGTGTTTTAAGTTGAGAATTTCACGTTTTTAGTTGCCTAATTGTGTAATTTGATGTTAATGTGCCTAGTTTCTCTATTTGGTGTTCTTATGTGAGATTTGAAACATGCTTATGATACTTTTATATAATTACGAGGAAATGCATACTCACTTTGCCAACAAAATATGTTAAATTTCACTCTTGTTGTTTGATTACAATTGTCTCCCACCATGCCTATTTATTGTTGTATTAAATACATCAATGAAGATGCGTATTAGTTGTAGCATGAATACTTGAGTTGAGATGGATGATCATGTGCATGTATGTATATAGAATTGATGAAAATGCACAATGCATTCTTGGCATTGGCATGGTAATGGAAATTGAGTTTGTTTGGTCAATGATGGGTTTGATTTCTAAAGGTTTTATGAAAAAATGATTTTTATTAAAGCAAGGTTCGGAAGTCACAATTCAGATGGCTAACTCAATCTAGAGGGAGTACGTGCCGGGTAGTACGTATATGGTTGAAACCAAATTAGGCCCCAAATGGTCATTGGTAGGGGTGACAAATTTTGACACAACCTGCCAACACGACTCGAACACGACATGACAAGAGTTAAGCGAGTTTGAGTTAACCTTAAACAAGTTAGATTCATAAATAGGTCAACACGATTAATCCGTTTAGTTAATCGTGTTGTGTTTGGATTAAGGGATTCAACCTGTTTAGACACGTTTAATTATATATATCATAAATAAATTTCAATTTAAGTTCCAAAATTACTATATAAACTTGTATGTTATAATTTAGGGCTAAAATATGAAAACCCCCCTGTTGTTTACAAAAAGTATCTACTAACCTCCCCAACTACATAAAATATCATATTACCCCTTTATATTTTTAAAAATATATCATATCACCTCCTCTCCGTTAGTTGACCATCTAAAAGTGACGGATGCTATCACGCGATCATCATGTGCACCATGTATTGTATTAGAATGACCAACATACCCTTATTTTGACCCACGAGCAAAGTCAGAGACCCGCCACGTTGGTGAGAAGCAAAGGTGGTCGACTGGTCCAGTCTAGCAAAAACGTGGCCACCAAGATGAACATTGTCTTCATGAATCCAACAGCAATGGTCACAAGTAGTTTGTCGTTGTACAAAACGACAGAGTCTATGCAAGATGATTGCTCGAAGAAGTGAATTCCAATGCCGGCGATCAATACGTGACGAACGGCCAGCATGGGATGAAGAAAAAACTTTTTGCACACGGCTTCACCGTAGCTGCATTTTTGCAGCAACAATGATCAAACCCAGCAATGATCATAGCCAAGCTCTCTGCTCGCCGAACATAACCATCATTATCAGTTCAATTCACCATTCCAATCACCGCCACAAGCACTGCCGATTCAGTTCCAAGCTTGTGGACTATTCCTCTCACCGTCGAGCTTCCTTGCTTGCCAGACAGATCATTCTCACCGGACTCTTCTCTGTACCGCCGTTGCCAGCCTCGCTGCCGATCGTTGCTCACAGCTGCTGCGCTTGTCCTCTCCACCGACTGGCTAAATCTGAGCCGCAGCAAGTCAGCAGAATTCTCTTTGCCGTCGGACCTCCGATCGAGCTGGGTCAACTCTCCTCTATTTAGAGACATGTTGAAAAAAAAAAAGGATAGCGTCCAATTCCGCAGTTCATCCTCGACGGAATCTACGCTGCCGTCTTAATCTGTGTTCGTTGCAGACGGTGATCAAAGACTTCATTGATTGTACGGCCCATTCCGGACGCCATCGTTTTGTACAGCCCCGAATTTTATCTTATATTCATATATTAATTTTTACTTATCAAAATAAAATAAAAATATATTAATATTAATATAATATCAGGGTCATTCTTGTCATTTCGCTTGCACTTAATGGTTCTATGACGGAATGAGGGCAATGTGATAGTTTATGTTATACCAAGGGTTTTTTTAAAACTTGAGAGGGTTAGTAGATAGTTTCGATAAACAATAGGGGGGTTTTCATATTTTAGCCCTATAATTTAATATTTTGTAAACTCGAAATTATTTAGTAATTTGATTGATTAAAACTTATATTTTTCTAGTATTTATTCTTTTATTGAGTATTATTAATAATATATATATATATATATATATATATATATATATGTATTGTAAATTGGTCATTAAACAGGTTACAAACCCGTTTAATAAACAGGTCGGGTTAGTATTGAGAGTTTTTGATACAATTATTAAACGGGTCGTATTCGGATTGAATTGTTTAATATAAATATCCTTAAGTCGAAACGACACAATTATGACCCGCGAACACGAATTGTCGCCCTTGGTCGTCGGTGAGA